AGAGGTCGGGCACCTACCTGGACCTAGTCAAGAGCCTGGCTCTTACCGCGCGATCTATGCATACGTCAGGTCAGTGATGAGACTACGCCAACCCACTGAACTGGGCCCAACCCCGTTTTCGGATCCGCTAAAAGTGAATAACTTTTAGTGGGTTAAATACGGAAATCCAACCACTAAACACTAAAACGCTAAAAGGCTAAGGAATCGGATGCCTGGGCTTGCCACCAAGTGAACGCAGACATTTAAAAACATGGCTGTAAGTGGGTGATTTACCCCGGCTTTGGTGGTGAAATGGGGGGGTTTCCCATTTACCCACAAGAACCAGGGACTCAAATCCAAATCCAAACCACCAATCCAAACCGCTAACTAAGGGGTACCTGAGATTGGGTAAATATGTCGAAATACTAGGGAAAGTTGGACTCCCCGTGTTTGGTGGGTGCTCCTTTTGGCTTCTCTTTTCAACGTAAAAAGGGTACCCTCCAACGCACACACAAACAACCAAACAAAACAACATGCAAACAAACAAACAAACAAACAAGCAAACAAGCAAGAAAACAAACAAACAAACAAGCAAACAAACAAACAAACAAACAAACGAGCAGACACACAAGCAAACAAAATAAACAGCCAAAGAAGCAGAGAAACAATCAAACAAATGAAGCAAAACAGAACAAACAAGCAATCAAGCAAGCAAGCAAGCAAGCAAGGAAGCAAGCAAGCAAGCAAACAACAAAACAAAGAAACCATCAAACCAACAAAGCAAACATATAACAAACAACAAATAAACAGACGGACACACAAACACACGAGCAAACAAGATACCCACACAAATACACAACCCACAAACACAGAGGAAGCAAGCAAGCAAACACACGAACAAACAAACAAACAAACGGGGATGGCTGGGAATCACAAAGTTGCCCAAGATAATGTAGCAAAGCCAGAGCAGCCGAAAGCGACAAAAAGTCCGTCGCTCTTACGTCAGCTGTCGCTACTTGAAGGGGCATTGTCCGTCAGGCAAGTGGTTAGTACGCCTGGTGAAATAACCCACCAAAGCCATGGTTAAGTCTCCGTTCAGCGGGTTACAAACCGGCTTACTAACCACCTACTAAGTAGCCGTAAGTAGCCTGCCCCTTGAAGTATGGGGATCCCCCTTTTGTTTGGTTTCCCAATGTGGTTTCCCTTTTTGGGAGTACCTAACCAGTTTCTAAGTAGAGCTGGCTTACTCTCACCACTTCACCTGCCTAGGTCCTTCAGTAGAATGGTTTGACTAAGGGTACCCACTTTTTTCTGCAGTCTATTTTAGTAGGATTCGGAACCCTCCCTGCAGCCAAAAAAGTTGGTGAGATAGGGCACCTAGCTGGGGGACCTAGTTTGGGAGCACTAACCAGTTTCTAAGTAAAGTTGGCATACTCTCACCACTTCACCTAACGTACCCAGCACCTAGCTGGGGCACCTAGCCACTTCACACCGAATCCATCGATCCCCGGCTTTTCGCTCGCTCTGCCGCGCCTTGGGTTGCGCCAGAATCAGCCAGCGCCAGAGCTTCAGCCCAAGTGGGCCATCTGAGCCGAGTCCGGGCCGTCGAGTCCGGGTGCGGGTCTGAGCAACTCGGCCAAAAGCAAAAAACATGTTTTGTGGGTCCAAAGCGAAATTCAATAAAACATCCGACCTGTTCCCCCCCAAAGAAAACTTAAGGTCCAAACAGCCCTTACCAAATTGCCAACCTGTTCGTAAACCACTAACCATTCTTTCCAGGGATTCGGATCTTTCCAGAAAACCTCCAGCAACCCGGGGAAAACGGATCAGGTTGTTGGAAAGAACGATGATTGAAAAGACTGGGGAATCAAGCCCTGGAACCACTCTCTGTGGGTCCAATTCGGAACATCCGACCTGGCCCCCTCCCCCCCCCAAAAGAGAAAAAGGTCCAAAGATCCGCTACCAAATAGCCAATATGGCAGATCCAGCCGACTTCCGATCGAGTGGACGGCCCAAGAAAAGAGCAACTAAACTTCTTGTCTTCCACTAAAACGGTCCGTGAGCCACTTTTCCCAAAAAACTTAGACTATTAGAGTCCAAAGATTCGTTATCAGACAAGCTCACACAGGGGCACTCCCCGTCAAGGTAGCCCCCCGGGAAATGATACAACCCCGACCGATGAATCCTGGCAGTGCCAGCCCGGGGAAAGTAACAACAAAATGTACTCGGCCAAACAAGCGTCCAAACAGGGCCCAGACGTCAAATCTGCTTTGCCAGCCCTGGACATTTAATCAGAGTCGACACTATGCGATCTGTCTCAGTCACGCAACTCCATTTTGATTAGCACAGACCAACCGGAACCAGCTCCTTTCCCCAACAAGGAAACCAACTTCCAAAGGGCTCCAACTTTCTTCGTTCCCATTTGTTGACCACTATCAAAGTCACACCCCAATTGGAACGTTGCAGGGAACCCCCAGAAACCACTGCATGACTCCTTCCGCGGAAACCCGCTCAACGTCAACAGGGCTCCAACTTTCTGCGTTCTTCGCGGCAGCGGCCCGCAGGCCTGACATGGCCTTCCAGCTCTGAATGCCCAGCTCGTTGTCATCCAAGTACAAGGTCTCGAAGTCCACCGAATCCAAGCCACAGGCCTCCGTCCGGGAATGTCTCGACCCAATGGCATTCACATCCGTATCCCTCCCCTTTAAACGCCCCGGGGAGGGGAGGCGCTTGGCCCTCATCAGGCTGGCCCTAATGACGGGGCAGGGTTCCTTTCCGATGCCACCGCGTGTTCCCGGAATGTGGACATAGGGGGAACAAAAATCAGCGGAGTCACTGCGGGCAAAACGACCCGCACATGAAACCCGAGTTTCTGTTGGCTGGATGCAAAGAAGCAAGGAAGGATTTCTGAGCTTCGCAACCGACAGGAGCCGTTTTCGCAGGGTGGGCCTCAAAATGGCTGGCTTTAGGCTGGACCCATTCAATGGAAAGAACACCTGAATCCGGGTATCGCAATTCAAGCACCTGCGACCCAATTGCGCTTGGTTGTCCCCTCGGCTGACTGTCTCTAATTGTTGCTGGCTTCAGTTGTGGCGCAGCATCGTATCGCTGGGTTCGCAACAAGTGCTTTCCATTTCAAAAACTGCGCACAAACAAGTGATCTGAGCCTCTCCAGTAGAATGCGGGGTGCCTTGCCTTGCCTACCTTCTCAGATTGAACGGTCCTGCGGTATTGACCTTCGCTTTCCTGCAAGCCCCAGACTCTTCGCCGCAATTTTCTACGGCCTGCATGCTTCTTTTGGCGGAACGCACGAGCCAACCCCGATCTAGACATGGAGAGAATTGGTTGGTCTTAGAGAGGTTGGCATAAGGGTACCCTTTTTTCTGTAGTCTATTTTAGTAGGGGAACCCTCCGTACAAAAAAAAGCACTACTGGGGGACCTAGAATTAGTTGCTCTTTCAGGACCACGCATGTAGAGTGCATCAGGCAGAAAGTCGAAAAGGAGCATGGTTTGGTGGTCGAGTGAGCGTTAGCGACTCAAGAATTGGTCCAATATCTGAAGCAGAATCGCAAAGGACCCCCGCGATAGTCAAAACTCCGCAAAGGCTAAGGTTGATTGCGAAGCGCCATGCAATCCTGAGGGTGGGCTTACAGAAGGATTGCCAGTCTGCCCGTCTCTACAGGCTCCTGCAGCCTTGGGGTCAGGTCATTTTGAGCCAGCTGCAGCCATGTCTCAGAATAGTCCAGCTGAACGGAAAGGTAGGTGTTGATGGCAAAGAAGTTCACCCTGGCAGTAACCAAGGCCGCACGGTAGTCCTTCATCATCTGCTTGTTGACGCCTCCAGCACAGCTGAACGAGAGACATAGCAAATTCCTTGAACAGGCCGTATTAATTCCAAATAAGTTCAGCTTAGCGCAAACCGCGAGGCAGTCCTCATTGCCCACCCGGAATAGTTTGCAATTCAGTGAGTGTGAGAAAAGAAAAGAGCAAACGACTGTGAAGAAGAGCTATCCTTTACATTTGGCTAGCGATCCTTTACGGTTGGCTACCCCTGTTGGGCAAACGAATTAGCGGAGATACGGGGGAAGCGGGGATGTGCGAGGACTCTGTGTAAAGGCAACCATGTCTAAATAATACCTGAAACATATATGCCCACATCCCTGCTTCCCCTGCATCCCTGCTTGTTTGTTTGTCTGACCCTGTAGGGAGAATCGGCTTTCAGCTACATTCTATACGGCTCCCTCCTGAGAGGGGTTATCTTTGGCTGGCGCGTGCAACTGGCGCACAATTGCCCTCTCACAAGCAAAGCAATGCGACTGTGTTTCGAAGGCAACCAGGAAGAAGCTGAAAGACATGCGAGGCCCTTGCTTTCGAATCCTTTTTGGACCCTGGATTGCGATGACCCGGGAAGGCATCATTGCTCACATGGAATGGCTCGCAGTGGAACGAACTGACACTGTTTCATACAGTTTGGCATGTGTGCCAAACGCGGTGCAACCAAAACAAATGGTCAAAAAGGTTGGTCAAAGGGCACTACTGGCACCCCAAAGCAGCCGCTGAAGTTAAATCCAATAAATCGCAAGGGCAGTGCCCACACACTGGTCAGAATCTCCGGAAAATATGCGAGCCTTGTAAGATCTGCAGAGGCTCAAAAGCAATCCAGGGAAGTGCCTCGTGTCTCATACAGCATCCAATCTGGAAAGGTACCTCCAGCTCAAAAACTAGGTCCTCGAGTAGAGAGGCTAGAATAAGGGTACCAATTTTGTTCTGTAGTCTATTTTAGTAGGGGAACCTCCCAACCAAAAAAGGGTAAAAGGGTACCACTGGGAAACCTAGAAAAGCAAAAACACCGCGCTAATTCTGAGTGTGCCAACAACTTTAGATCCAATGCAGGGTTCCTCTCACTCATGCACTCATTTTTTGCCGGTACAGGCAATTTGCGGGCTTGGGGGTTGCTTCGAACAAGTATAGAGCCAAAGTTGCGTAAAGATTGGTATGAGGACCCCTCCCCCAAAAACAAAGAAAGAAAGGAAGCTTCCTTTAGGTGTCCGAACAACTAAGGCCTCAAAGGGCATTTGGCTGTGTCTTTGTCGGGAACCATTTGGTTGGCTTAAGGTAACCCCAGAGGCAGGAAATTCCACCTTGGGTGCACCAGGTTTTAAGTTTTTTGCGGCCCCAGCGCCCGGCTCGGCTCGGCTCGGGTCACCCGGCACCTGTGGGAAAGAGCTGTGCGGCAAGGCGAGTGATGAACTCCTGCGCCGTGGAGGCTTTGTCCAAGAACTCCGCGTCCTCGCGGCTGAAACCCCGCCGTCGAAGCGAAGGCGCGCGAAGGCGCGAAGCCGCCCGCGCGAAGTAAAGCTGAAGCTTGGCCCAAGCAACCAAACGAGTTTTTCATGGATCGGAGGGGAGGCAGGGACGGAAGGAAGGGAGTTCAAACATGTAACAAGGCCTCAAGGGCTGGATAAGGGCTTGTTTTCGGCTCCCTCCCCCGCGCCCCTCCAGCCTCCTCCAGCCCCAGGCCCCATGAGTTTGTTTTTTTCCTTAGTTGAGTAATCGAACTCTGGCATTAAAATGGTCTACCAGAACCATGTACAGAATTCAAAGGGCACTTTGCTTGGCCAGAGGCGGCCGAATGCAACAGGGAACCCATGTTGGGTGTCCAATTTGAGGGAGAACTGGGAGGGCAATTGGGCGCATCAGATGCAAAAATTGCTCTCGAACCAGCCTCGGGGGCCTTCTTGGGATGTTAAAATAGTCAAAATCGTTATTTATTTCAAAATATGTTTGAATTACATTGAAAATTCAATTTTGAATAGATTATTTGTTAAGAAAAACGTGCTAATTGATATTTCATTTCTGGATGAAACAAGACGAAGGCTGGATGATCTTCAGGCCCATGGGTATGCCTACTGTTCAGACTCACAGCTTGGCGAAATGCAAGGCGAGCCCCCAAACCTTTGTCAAGGCCGTTCCGCAAACCCACCCGATTCGTGGGCATGAAACCAACCTCTTGGGGGCTGGGGGGGAGGGAGGGTAGGGGGAGGGAGCCCAACAAAAAGCCCTTATTAAGGCCTTATTTAGGGCTTATTTGGGCTCCCTCCCCCTCCCCTCCCTCCCCCCCAGCCCCCGTGACAACCCAAGTCAACACGGTCCAACCCAAAGTAGCTTCGACTGACAAATTCTTTGCGCAACGATACAAGGGAAAAGCTCTATTCTGCCATAGACTCAAAGAAGCGTGGCCCCACGGAGAAATGTCCAGAAGCACACGAAGTGTGATCATTGAAGAGTGGAACCCTGCGTCCGAGATGTTGCACATCGGCACAAATCAACAGCTGTAAGATTACAATAACGAGCGAACTATTGCCCCAAAACGCAAAGTTCCATGTGTGTGTCTTCATATTGCGTGAACCTTGACATGCACTACCCTCCCTCCCAACAAACCTGGATTTGCACAGGCCCCTTTAAACTGGAGGTTTCTGCACTTTCATAATCATGTCAAAAGAGATTCCCTTGCTGAGCGAGGTCTCCTTTCTGCCACTTCCTGAGTGGATTGGCCGAAACAAATCCCAAACTGTTTATGGTCCGAACCCAAACAGTGACTCAAGTCTGAGTCCTGGAACTCAGGAAGCGGGTTCCGTCCTGTCGTTGGGGGTGGCGCTTCTCTGGTGCTGCTTGCGGCGCTCTTCGGGATGTTAGAGGTGCTGGTGTGCAAATCATCGGCCTGGTGTTTCGCTATCTGGGGTCTATGCTGGTGTATTTAGCTATGTATTCACTTATTTTTGCTGGTGTACGTATTTATTGATTTACTTTGGGGGGGGTGGGGGTGGCGGGTTGGGCGGCCCCAGTGAACATCCCAATCCCCACTAAATAGACTAAAATGGGTGGTGCACCTATACCAAAATGGTACCAAAACGGTTTTGACCCACGGCCATCTGAAGATCTGAAGATCGTCTCCTGAAAATCCAAAACTTTGTATGGTCCGACCCCAAAAAGCGACTCAAGTCCGAGTCCCGGAACTCAGGAAGCAAGTTGCGTTCTGTCATTGGGCTAGGTCCTCCAGTAGAGAGGTTAGAATAAGGCTACCAACTTGTTCTGTCGTCTTTTGTAGTAGGGTTTGGAACCCTCCCAACCAAAAAAGGAACGGTGAGAAAGGGCACCAATCGCTGGTGGACCTAGACATGCTTATGTATTTATTCATTTATTTATTGATTTATTGATCCAAGCACCTATGTATTTATTGATCTCAGTTGTTCAGTGACCCTGGAAAAAAAAGGGAACCCTTTTTTGGGCTTGGACCATTTTAGTGGGCAGCCACCAAAAAAAAAGGCGACAGAATTGGTGCCACTGAACAACTGAGTGTTTTTATTTTTGTATATATATATATATATTTATGTATCTATTTACTTTGGGGGGTGTATTTATTGATTTATTTATTTCGGGGGGGAGTGGCGCTTCTGGACTTTGGGGGGGGGGCTCGCTGGGCTCGCATCTGGGTCTCCTGAAAGCCCAGCTTGGCGCGGGGGGAGTCGCAGCACTGGAGCTGCTGGTGCCTTCGTTGCCACTTCTGCCGGACCTGGCGACGGGAAGGAGACGGGCGCCGAATCGACTCCGCGCGGAAGGACTCCCGTACGTCAAAAGTCCCCAAAAAAAGAGGGGACCAAAACCCCGAAATAAGAGGGGACCAAAAAAAGAGGGGAACTCTAAAAAAAAATAACAAAAGGGAACTACTTCCGGCCAGGCAAAAACCCCGAGAAAGGAAAGCTAATGGTTAATAGGCCATATTTGTCGCTGTCCCAAAACCCAAAAGGGAACTCTCCTAGCCCCCAAATAGACCTTACTAGTCGCTTTAAACATTTACTGGGAAAGTTCGGGGCCCTTGACAACCAGAGGAATGACACAAAGATCGGTGTATCTGGGCTGTCCGTTTTCTGATCCCCCGCTCAAAGTTGAAAACTTCTGAGTTCATTCAATGGAAGCCCAACCACTAAATCCTAAAAAGCTAAAAAAAGCTAAACAGTTAAAAAGCTAAGGGGATGGCTGGGAGCCACCAAGATGTGGAATCGATGCCCTTGCTCCTCCTAACATGGCACCTGACGGTCAGTTGAAAAGGACAAGTAGTCTTCCAGGAGGTCAGTCAGGTTTCATGCTAGTGGAGGGTATGTGGGTCTGATGTCGAAAAAGGGACCATCGAATTTGGTGGGTTTACTTGAGTTAGTTCCCCTAAAATCAAACCACCCCAAAACGGGCACCAAAATAAAAGGGCACCATGCCATTTGTTGCTCGGGGGTGTGTTTTTTGGGAGTTGGTTTGAAGTGAAACCATTTTGGAAACCAACCATTTTTGGGGGTCCCTTCAACAGGCACTCATATGTTTGGACAAGAAGAAAGCTGATCCAGACCAAACCCACTAAGTCCCAGTAGCAACCAAGGTAAAGGCAGAGAACCTCTCATTTTGGCAGGGTTGGCCATGTCCAGCCAGGAAGCATTCAAACAAAAAGGGAAAGTGTGAACAAGCTTACCAGGATCATAAATGTCAATGGATTTCACTGGCAGCTTGACTTTGCAATCAAAGGCCCGTAAAGTGGTGGGTGAAAGGGAAACAAGCCCAGTTGTTGATTTTGAGAACCCCTGATCATCTGATCCTTTCAGGAAATGATCCAGCATTGACCATGGCAACCATTCGGCCAGTTTGTGCCTCTTTCTCGTCCAAACCATCGAGGGGCACCTTCTGCTGCGCGCATCGGCCTTGCAGGGGAGGTGCAACATGGGGTCTCAACCCTCAAAATCGTTAGCCTTTTATCCTAAAATCAAACCATCCCAACAAAGGGGTACAAAAGAACACACCACACACCTATGTTCGAGTTCTTTCACTTTTACATGTTGCCAAGAGTTGCCAAGTACGCTGCCGGTCCGCTAGACTTGTCACTTGCCCGACCCTCACAGGGCTTGGCCCTATACCTGTTTGCGACGAACGCAAGCCACGAACGCAAGCCGGTCATATCTATGGCCTGATGGCAACGCCGAACAGGAAAGCCCCATGTGCCAGGATTATGAGGTAAAAAAGCCGAAGTCGAGACAGAGCCAGGTGTCTTTGCGGCTCACCAAGAAACCGGAGTTGGTTTCAAGCACACCATGCAGGAAGGAACCTACGACGTGCGCGCGCAGTTTGTTCAGGGACAGCAGTAGGGGAATACTGCGGATGGACGAAATCCTGCACCACCTAAAAACCCTAGAGCAATGATTCCCCTTTAAATACCAACGACCAATCGTTTCCTATGGTTTCAAAGTGGTGCGAAATGGATTTCGTCCACCCACAGTAGGAGGCAAGCTTGCAAAACAAAATGGTGCCGGTCTGGGTGAATCATAGCGATAGGTGAAGTCACGACTCGATCAGATGTACTTGAGCGTTTACCCTTTTTGCTGTTAGGGCATTCTGAAAGCGCAGGTTTGCCAGGTAGATACACAGGATCCTTACATTATTCACCTGAACATTGCAACTTGTAAATGGTCGTTTCCCTTTATTTTGGTCTTGAAAAAGGCACATGTTTCAAATGGTGGCAAAATGTATCGATCTTTTAAGGAGCCCTGATGCACCTGGGTGCTTTGGTGCAAGAGATCAATATGATGCCCCACTAGGTCCTCCAGTTGAGAGCTTAGAATAAGTTGGTACCAACTGGTTTTCTATGTTTTTTTTTTTTGGTTTAATATGTTTTTTGTAGTCTATGTTAGTAGGGTTCGGAACCCTCCCAACCAAAAAAGTTGGTCAAAGGGCACTACTGGGGTAGTCTATGTTAGTAGGGGAACCCTCCCAACCAAACAAGAAACGGTGAGAAAGGGCACCAATCGCTGGGGGATTTAGCCCACCAAACTCTGGGCCCGGATTGGCGACAGCTCTGCTTTCGATTTTGATCCTTCGGTTGCCGCCTGCCAACGCTGCGAACTCGTCCACAAGCCTACGAGACCAGCGATGGAATCACATCCACCATGGAGCCGCTTGACAAAGGGGCCCGGGAAACCCAACAAAATATTTTGAAACAGATTTCCTGGTTCTATGTTGATGGACAGGAGGGTATGACTTAGTCCGTCTTTCTTGGATATAATCTAATTATTGATCCCTTGCTTAATATGGTCGTTCCTAGAAGTGGAACACATATTATTCTCAAACTTCACCCCACAAAGCCAAACAAGAACTGGGTCACAGCATGCACAATCCCCAGCTGGCAAATCAGAATCTGAGGCCATGAATGCCAAATCAAACTCATCAATTTGATTTTGAGAGAGAGAGGGAAGAGAGAGAGAGAGAGAACAGTTTTTTTTGGTCTCCTGGACTACCCACTTCGAAACCCCACCCACAAGAGTTCACCTACGCTGGCCTTTTCAGTTGTCAATTCCTGCCTTCAGGCACAAAGGGATAACCGCGGCTAGAAAACAACTCTAACGATTGATGACAGCATGTTCTGAAGCAATGTCATACTTGAATCAAGTCATGATATGAACATGAATCATGATATGTTCGATACTTTGGTCGGACGGGGGATGAAAGCAACACCCTGCTGCAATATTGCCCGTGGTCTCATCCGAGTTACATGTGCAGTCGCCATGAAGACCCTCCCCCAAAAAAGGGCAAACGAGCAGTACTGGGGGACCTAGTAGCTACCACCAACTCCACTTGGTGCAAATTGCTAGGCCAAAGATACCATTTACGGACCTGGCCAGAAAAGCACTCCTCCATTTTGTTCAATCAACCACCCTCGCCCCACGGCCCTGTGTATGAACTAGGACTTGCCGTATGCAGGATTGCTTGTTGGTGTCTCACTCAGTAAGTAGAATGCCGCAGCACTAGTCCGAGCTGCTTCTGCATAGTGGCCAGATCCAGGCCATCCCCATCTGGGCCCCTGCCAGTGCGGGAGTCCATGTTTGGAGGCAAAGTGGGTTCTGATTCTGACCAACCCTAGCATGGAGCCTCCTAAGCCTTTGCCTTGGCTTTTCAGTTGTGAAAAGCAACATGCAATCTAGGACCTGCAACGTGCAGATGAGGTGGGTCATCCCAGGATCTGCAATGAGACATGAAGCAATGTGTCCGGATGGATCCGCTTGCTACTTGGGAGGGCCATGTTGGATGTGACCCGCTCAAAAGATCTCAAAAGTGCGAGGGGGAAAGGCCCAGTTCCGAGTTGCAGCATGGAAAAAGGAGGAATCCATGGCATCCATGGTGCCTTCATGGAAAGTGCCGGGGTCTGGGTTGTGGGTAAACTTGGGCAACTTCAACATGGGTCTGTCTTTCTTTGGGGTACCGTTTTGGCGGTTGGTTTAAAGGGAGACCAAAATTAAAACCACCATTTTGAGGTCGTCTAAAACAAGGCACACCCACATAATCACATCCTCTCCAAACGAATCATGGACAAATGGCAACACCGTCAATCTCTTCAAAACAAGATGGGTCATTGACAACTACCTCTTTCCTTAAAGATCTTAAAGCAAACCAACGGAAAGCCGCCAGTTCAAAGGAAGACCCTCTTGGACCAAAGCAGCTGGCTTGTGAGAAGGTCTGGGAGTGTTTCGCCACAGCCTTGCTGAGTTGATACCAGCAGTGTGGCAGCGGTGTTGCTTGGGTCAAACAGAACGGCTCGCTTGGTCCTCTCAACTGCTACTTTTCGGCTGGACGAAGCCGTTTTTTCAAGTGTCCCAAGTATAGCCATGGTCACCTCTCCTCACCATCCACAGCCCCAAAGCTCAAGTCTCCTCCTGGCGATTGCCCGAAAATATCTAGGGGTACCTTCCATGTCCATTCTTTCCAGGGATCCTTCTTTTCAGGCAACCATCAAAAACCCAGGGGAAACGGATCCGGTCTTTGAAAAGAACGATGGTTGGAAAGAATGGAAGAGGAATCAACCCCTAGAAGGATGGCTAGTTGTTTCCTTTTTCTCTCCCTTTAAAACCACCCACCCAAAAAGACAGGGTATAGAACCGAGGGCCCCGAGCTCCGAAAAGTGCTTCAAGTCCGAGTTTTGGAACTGAGGGAGTAAGCAAACGCAACATCTCTCAATCAAATCCATTGCTAAGACCTCCAGTAGACTAGGCTGGAACTAGGACCCCAGCAAAAAAAAACTTGTTTGCCGAGTTAGTGGAAAACAAAGGGACCCCAAAAAAGCAAAAGAACAAAAAGGGGAGCTAATTCTGGGGAAGTAGACAGGTTAGAATAAGGGGACCAACTTTTTTCCGTAGTCTATTTTGGTAGGGGAACCCTCCCAACCAAAGAAGAAGTTGAGAACATAGGCGTCCTTTTAGGGGAAATAGATGGATATCCCTGGCAGATGCTTAAACCACCAGGCAAACCAGGGAAACCCATCCTATTTTCCTACCAAAACAAGCAAAAACGACACCTATGGTTGAGAAGGAACTACTGCTGGTTGCTGCAACGACCCCTCTGCAAAAAGTGTTTCACTTTTCGTGGGTTTAGTACGGAAAACCCGACTTGATTTCAACCAAAAGGTTTCAAGTCTAAAGATGCGTTACCCAAGTCTAGGTCCTCCAGCAGAGAGGTTAGAATAAGGGTACCAACTTCTTTCCCGAAAGCATGGCGAAGGGTTCTTCCGCTGGGTTCACTTGAGTTCTTCTCATGAGAGTCATTACAAGGTGTCATTGCAAGGAATCATCATCATGAAAGTCATTGCAAGGAGTCATTGCAAGGAGTCATTGCAAGGAATCATCATCATGAAAGTCATTGCAAGGAGTCATTGGAGTCATTGCAAGGAGTCATTGCAAGAATCATGTTGGAGTCATTGGTCAAGGTCATCAAGGAGTCATTGCAAGGAGTCACAAGGAGTGGTCATTGCTCAGCATTGTCTCATTGCAAAGGATCATGAATTTGCACAAGTCATTGCAAGGAACTTGCACAGATCATTCAGTCATTGCAAACTTGCAAACTCCAAACTCATGACTCCTTTGGCTTACACTTGGCTCCATGCACTTGGCTCCACTTGACTTGCACACTTGGCTCACTTGACTCCATGCAAATGCTCCAACTTGCAAACAAGCAAGGAGTCAATGACTCCTTGCAATGACTCCTTGAAACAAGCAAGGAGTCAAGTGCAAGTTGCAAGTGCAAGGAGTCAAGTGCAATTGACTTGCGAGGAGTTAAAATCTCTTCTTAGGGCGGCGGGGTAGTGCCGACGACACTACACGAAAATCGACCCTCTGCGGGGATCGGCGTGGTCGAGGTGCAAAAACCCATGGTTTTTTGCGATTTTAACCTGCTCGCGCGACCCTCTGCGGGGATCGGCGTGGTCGAGTTCGATTTCTAAAGTTCCCGCGCGACCCTCTGCGGGGATCGGCGTGGTCGAGGTGCAAAAACCCATGGTTTTTTGCGATTTCTAAAGTGCCCGCGCGACCCTCTGCGGGGATCGGCGTGGTCGAGGTGCAAAAACCCATGGTTTTTTTGCGATTTCTGCGGTGCTCGCGCGACCCTCTGCGGGGATCGGCGTGGTCGAGGTGCAAAAACCCATGGTTTTTTGCGATTTCTAACCTGCTCGCGCGACCCTCTGCGGGGATCGGCGTGGTCGAGGTGCAAAAACCCATGGTTTTTTGCGATTTCTAACATGCTCGCGCGACCCTCTGCGGGGATCGGCGTGGTCGAGGTGCAAAAACCCATGGTTTTTTTTGCGATTTCTGCGGTGCTCGCGCGACCCTCTGCGGGGATCGGCGTGGTCGAGGTGCAAAAACTCGAGGTTTTTTGCGATTTCTGCGGTGCTCGCGCAACCCTCTGCGGGAATCGGCGTGGTGGAGGTGCAAAAACTCGAGGTTTTTGCGACTTTTGTTGTTCGAACTGGTCCTCGGGAGTTGTCTCGTGGTTCGCGCGCCTGCTCCCGGAACCGGCGGGTCGCGGGTTCGATTCCTCCCTGGTCCGCGGGCGGGCGTCGCAAGATGCAACTTGCATTTTAAAGCAACTTGCGCAGAGCAACTTGCGCAGAGCAAGTTGCACAGAGCAACTTGCGCAGACCAACTTGCACCGACCAGTTTGCGGAGAGCGCCTTGCCTAGAGCAACTTGCGCAGAGCAACTTACGCAGAGCAACTTGCACAGAGCAACTTGCACAGAGCAGCTTGCACAGAGCAACTTGCAGGGAGCGCAATTTGCACAGAGCAACTTGCAGGGAGCCACTTGCAGGGACCAACTTGCCGGAGCAACTTGCGCGGAGCAACTTGCGCAGAGCAACTTGCACAGTGCAACTTGCGTAGAGCAACTTGCGCAGACCAACTTGCACCGACCAGTTTGCGCAGAGCACCTTGCCTGGTGCTGTCTCGCGCTTGCTTCACGAATGCTTCGTGTAGGGAAAAAGAACGCATCCTGCAGCGTTGGGCCGACCTCGCTTGCGATGTTCTGCTTTCGGGCCAACCGTGGTCTAGTTTCTGTAGTCTATTTTAGTAGGGTTCGGAACCCTCCCAACCAAAAAAGGAACGGTGAGAGGTCGGGCACCAATCGCTGGACTAGCAGTCTAGACTGGGGGACCTAGATTGGGCTCCGTTCCCAGCGCTTGGCCCGCCTCAGATCCAAGCGCCGGTGGCTCGCTTCCGAGTACTCCGCGTAGGACTCCAAACGCCACAGCGCGTTGCGACTGGAGGGGCTCAGGAAGACCTCAGCCCACTCGAAACACTCGAAACTCGGACTCACCTCGTTAGGGTTGGATTACAGGAGACTCGACAGGATGCGTTTTGTTGTTTTTAACGGTGTTTTGGGGCAAATTCGGTTGCAGCACAAGAAGAATCGCCTTTACTTGGTTGACGTTGGAAGGGGAGCTAAAAATTGAAAATTCTAGCAGCTAAGTGGGGATTTTCCACTTAGCCAGAATAAGCAAACATGTAAAATGTTTCCCAACAACGACCATGGTTTGATGGTGTTGTTGGGCAATTTGCGGTAGATTTTCCTGTAACCAAACCCTTTGACCTCTTCAAAGTTTGCTCTCTTCGAGAGGGAAAGCCAATCTGACGCATCGGTTCATGCTACCTGAGAGAAAGTAAATGTCTATGAACATGCCCTTCGTCACTTGACCCTGCCAGGGCCGGTGACACGTGTTGCCAGTTGCCAGCCATGTCACAGCCTGGCACTGAATGGCTCCAACTCATCGTGCGTGAAATGGGTTGGTTGCGGTGTGGAGCGGATTAAGGATTGACAAGTTCGCCGTAGGTTGGTTGCTGTTCGGCTGTAGCTCTTTCTGGATCTGCACAAATCACCCCACCCAGCAAGTGAACCTTAAAGCTGGTGCAATTGGCGCCATTGACACAACCGCCACACACACACAGACACGCACACTCACGGGAATCATTCGCATGCTTTCTGAGGACTTATGATGAGGGAGGCGTTCTTTGAGTCGGGATCCTCCCATATAGCTTGATTTGCTCGCGGTCATCTTTGCCGGTTAATGGGGGGCCAAAACACAACTCAGGTTCAGCTATCTCAAATGCAAAGGTTCATTTGGTGTGTCGCTTGTTAGGGTATCCCTTTAATTGCTGGTGGCGTTAAAGAAACAAATAAGAGGAACACCGAAGCCATTTTGGCGGGATTCCCGACAAAGGACACACCCATTTGGATTTGGGTCGCTAGCGTTAGGCCCAGGTGTGGCCATGTGAAATGCGGGAGAAAAAACAGCTTTTTCGGGCGGGGGGGGGGGGGGGAGGGGGCTGGCCCCAAAAAAAAGACACACTCAGTTGTACCACCAGCGATTCGAAAGAAACGCCGAGCGTCTGCATTGCCGGAATGGGCGAGATATGTCTCGTAGAAGCTTTGTATGAAGTACTCGCCCCCGGGTCCTGCCAAGCCACGCTGTTGCTCGGTTGGAGAAATCCCTTTTGACACAAAGTGAGGCGTTTCAACAGGGATCCTTACATGACGAACATTGCCTGGAAAATGGTGGTTTCCCTGAACCTTTTGGTGTTGAAAAAGCAACATGTTTCAACTGGTTGCAAAATGTATCTTTTAAGGAGCCATGTTCAAGAATATGGTCTCCACAAAAGCTTCCATGGACCAAACTCTGCGCTAAGGGGAAAAATGCAACCCAATGGCTTTCACTCTCCATCCCTTAGTCACTTGTTCAAGGCTGACGTACTGTCCCAAGTGCTGAGAGATGCCTGGCCACACTTAGTTTTCTTCCTGATACTGGCAGCCAGTCTGAAATCAAACAAGCGTTGAGGCGAGCTGAGAGCGACCTCGGTGCTCGGGGTGTAGTGCTTGCCTATGATGGCATCCAGATATAGTATATCTTTTCTGAGGGCAGTCAAAGGCCAAAGAAATGTTCCGGTGATGTGTTTCGGAGGTGTCCCATGTTGTTCATGCGCTTATGATTCCCTTGCAAGGTTGAATGATGTGAACTTCCAAAACGTGTTTTCCCGCAGGTTGCCCAAACGACATGATGTTGATGATCTGCATGTGGTTTATCTTCATGTTCTGCCGTATGTCGGACTGGATACGAAGCAAGCGACAAACATGTCATGCTCCAAACAGTCATTTCGTATTGAACCAAGCAAAGCCACACATCGCCTGACGAACAAACACAAAACCGGGCGCCACCGGGGTCATGGGCATCCCTACCAAGCCAATGCAAGCAGATGTCCGGACCATAACCAACAAATGCCATCAGTCCCAAGTTGGGCCAGCTCACATGGCTATGGCTCAAAAAACCTGTACCAAAATGGGTTGCCCTGGTAAGTGGAAACATGGACTAAAACCGGCGGTTTGCCCCTCCTGGCTAATTTTGAGCCACAGCCACATGTTGCTTCAATGCAACCCGCCCCGAGCCTCAGGATGCGGCTCCAACAAGGGAACTGCCGGAAATCCCCACCAAATCAACTCACAGATAAATGTGACAGGGACCGGACGTTCGAACCGCCAAGATTGCCCCTTTCAATTCTCCAAAGAGTTTGAGGATTGAGGGTACCCCTTGTTTTTGTGGTTCGACACACCCACTTACCCCAATTTGGATTCCAACGACCAAGATGGTCTAAAACCGGGTTCTCCTTTCGGAGGCTCATGAATCACCGGGTTTAAGGCTAGGTCCTCCAGTGGAGAGGTTAGAATAAGGGTACCAACTTTTTTCTGTAGTCTATTTAGGGTTCGGAACCCTCCCGACCCAAAAAAAAACCGGTGAGAGGTTGGTTGCACCAATCGCTGGACCCAGAACCCAATCAACCAAAAAGTTGGTGAGAAAGGGCACCTAGCTGGGGGACCTAGAAGTCTCCCCTGTCCAAAAGGACCCAGGCTAAATCTATGTTGGATAAGGTGGGCGAATTGTGAGGGGCAACCCTCCCAAACAAAAAAGTGTAAAAGTTGGCACTACTACTGGGGGACCTAGACAAGTCTACCCCGTGAAAAACGTGGCCCGACCGTCCTGGGCGCAGGGTCCACAGCTCCTGGCGCTTGGCGCGGGAGCCGAAGGCCAGCGCTTGCGGCTGGGCGCCCAGCGCCGCCAGCGGGTGCTGGCCGCTGAGCAGCTGCCACAGCCTCGGGGGGGGGGGGTGGGGGGCGGGGAGAAGTGGGGGGGGGGAATTGACAGTGTGAAAAAGTTGTTTCTTTTTTGGGGGGAAGCGCTGGAAATGGGTGGGGGGTGGGGGTGGGGGTGGGGGGTGGGGGGTGGGGGGTGGGGGGGGGAAAGGGGTGGTGGCAGGTGTGGGGTTGGGGTTGTTGGGTGGGGGGGGGGGAGAAATGAGGGCGTTGAAAAAGGCTCCTGAGGGTTTGTTTGGGGCTTTTCTTCGGGAAGCTCTGAATTGGGTGGGTTGGGGGAAAGCAAGAGGGAAAACCACCATTGTCTCACTTCCTGCTGAGAGGATGGGCCAAGTCTGAACTTTTTGACCGCAAACATGGTCCAAACCCCAAAAGCATAAAGTCCGCCAGGAACTCAGGCAGTGCGGGTCAATTCAGATTCTCAGTTTAGGCTAGTTGATCCAGTTTAGTTGAGTCAACTCACGTAGCACTTGAGGCTGCCAACTTCCCCCCGAATTCAGCTGGCGCGCGATGAGGGGTCTGACAAAAGGCAGGCATCCAAGTGCTTCGAGTTCCTGACATTGGGAAGCAACAGTTCATTGGTGGCATAGCACCTGAATTTGGTGGTATGGTACTAACTGGCGAGTTTGCCACAGACAACAACAATTAGCGATATGTAAAACTCAGCTGGGGAAAGGCATCCGCTTGTGCGGAGTTGCACAAGAACTCCGGCTGAAGAGGGCCATGGGGGGGGGGGGTAGAAGGGAATGTCTCCAAATGCTGGACTTCTTCATCCGAGACACCCTTCCTCCGTCCACTCCAGCGTCCAAAGCATGTGGGCCCCCTGGCGTGCTTGGGAAATACCTGCCTTGGAAAAACCCGCAAGGGCAGCCTGCTGGGATATGCCCCATATTAATCAACCCCAGTTTGTTCATTGGGAACACCCTCTATCAATATCAATAAACTGGGGTTGATTAATATGAGGTCAACAATGCAAAAAGAACAGCGGCTTTCACCAGATTTCCAGGTACATCATTCATAAAAAGGCGGGATCAGATTGCTACGTGTTGTTCAACAGGAGTTTCGAAGGAAATATGTGCTCTGTTCCTGACATTCTTAAGCTTCAGCCGGCTCCGAAAGATCTTTCGTAAGCATAGCGAACGGTTTTTCAGGCAAAATTGCTTGAGGATTTCACCAAGAGAACGCTAAAGAGATTGCGCCGAGAAATGCTAGCAAGAGATCGCGCAATCTCTTGCACCCAGAAACCGCCCGAGAGACTTCACAGAGAAATGTAAAATGCAAAGGAGAGATTGATCGGAGTGATTGCACGTCAGTTTGCATCGAGAGATGTCAAGGATGAGATTGCTCCGAAAGATTGCGCGGAGAGAGTGCATGTGAGATCGCCCAAAGAGATTGCTCGGAGTGATTGCACGGGAGATTGCGCGGGGACAACTTTTAAGCTACGTGTCATGTCTTTGCGGCGCGCGTTGGAGCCTCTCTTTCGCGGGAAGCCTCCTGATAACTATCCCGGGTCCTGAGTCACACTCTTTGAACCGATCTGTTTGTAGAAAGCAAATGTCGTGCCAATTTCTATAGCTGTAGCGGAAGCTGGGATTAGGGAATATTGATGTTGGATGTGGGTGGCTCGTCTTCTTTAAAGTTGGGCCCCCCAAATTTTCTTGGGTGTGTCTTGGTGTTCCTGAAAAAACCAACCAAAACGGGGTCCCCTCCAATAAAACAAAGGCCCACCTTGCGGAAACCTATCAAACATCAAAAGCGAATGCTGGGAGCCACTATGAAACTATACCCAAGGTGCGTCAGCATGTCTCGTTGAAACTGCTGGAGTTCAGCTAAGGGTAGTGACACATCAGCAAGGGCAAGCATATGGCTGTGGGTCAAAAGAAATGGGATCCCATTTTGGGTTAGGTGCACCACCCATTTTAGTCGGAATTTTAGTGGGGATTGGGATGTTGACTGGGGGTACAGGATTTTGACCCATGGCCATATGAATCGTATGGGGGTTGATCAAAAGGTCCTTTGCATGGGATGACCATGAGATTTCCCGCTGAATGGGAAACGTTCGATGGTCGTTTTGGGGCCGAAGGAATAGTGATCAACCCCCATATATAAACCCAAGCAAACGTCCCACCAGCGGCTGGTGATTCTTGCATCTCACCAATCTGAAAACAAGGAGGTCCCTACCTGAACAGGCGATCGGGTACTTAGTAAGTGGTTCGGATTCCAGAGAACAAAGACTTATAACCCATTTGGGTCATAGCCAGTGCTTACGATCACCACTCACCTGGTGTACCCTGCATCGATCGCCCCTTTAACATGATTAGAGTTAGGCCAAGTTATATGTAGAATGTATATTTCAGTGTTTGCTTCACTTTGAGTCACTGGCAAAACGTAAACTGCACCCCCTAAATCTACGCCAGTTAAGTCCCCCTGCCGCCGCCCTGAGGCGGGCGGGGGGGGGGGGGCCGGGGGGGCGGACAGCGCCCGGCCTGGGTCTTGGTGCTGAGTCCCACGACGCTCACAGAACCAGACACGCTGCCGCCTCTGCGATTCGAGACCCGTCCCCCCAAGAAGCTTGCTTCCATTTACTTACCACTAAAATGGTCCAAATCCAAAAAGTGACTAAAGTCCGTTTACTCCGGGCGTGCGCTAACCTTCATCTAGACGTCCATTTGCTTTTTCACCCCCTGGGGAAAAAACAAAATATGTCCAACAGTGATAGATTCCAACTTTGAATCCAAAAGGGCATTACACAAATAATAAGCAAATGGAAGCTTGGGAGTTCGCCCAAAAAAGCGGCTTCGCAAGCCGGAAGACAAGCCATCCAAATGTGGAAGGGTCTGTCAATCAAGGCCAGTCTGTCAATTCTTCTGGCCCCTCACCAACAAACGATTTGGAAGCTTAGGGGTTTCACTGAAAACATCGTTCTTGATTTTTCGAAATAGATCCTTCCGGTGTTGTTTCTTGTTCCAAAAAACAACAAAACCGGTGTGGATGCCTGTTTTGCTGTGCATGTCCCGCCCAAAACCCACTGGTGTGGATCGCCCCGTCGTGCGCGTTCCGCCACTCCGCCACTCCGCCCATCCCTTCGCCTGTGAGGCAGAGATTCTCCCGCTGCGCAGGGCACACGAAGCAGCTCTGCCGCCTCGGCCACCAAGATTCCAGGACTGGGGGGCAGCCTGGGATTTCCCCAAACGGGTCTGGGTCCATTGGCCCTACCAACCCGAGGTAAAGGGGTCTTTGGATGCCACGTGTGGGGGTGTCTTGTTCGAGTGAGCCCTTGGTGTCGTGGGGGAAAACTGGAGGAACAGCTTAATCATAGGTGTCCTTTTAGGGTCAATACATGGCCCTGGTAGATGAGGAAAAACCACCAGGTAAAACAGGGCCATCTACTTTTCTACCAAAACAACCAAAAAGGACATCTATGGGGGCAGCCGCCTGGATGTTTCCCCAAATGGGTATGGGTCAAAAATAGGTACCCAAAATAGAACCCTGGTAAATGGAAACATAGACTAAAACCTGCGGTGCCCTGATGGTTTAATTTTGACTCATACCCGAATGGCTGTGGTTGTCAAATCCAATGGGATCCCATTTTGGTTGGTAAGTGAATTCATCACCCACTTTAGAACCAATTTTAGTGGGGATTGGGATGTTCACTGGGGTACTGAGTTTTGACCCATGGCCAAATGGGTCTGGGTCAAAACTCCACCAGGAATCGGACCACTAACTCAAAAGATGCAATTTGCACGTGGCTAGTGGCTTGCCATTGAAACTGTGGAACCATCTTGCGATTTTTGGCGTCACTGGATTCCCCCGAAGTGGCCAAGTCGACTCGTTTGACACGATCGCCACCTTTTGGAGCTTCCAACAAGGGAAATGGCGGATAACTAGGCCCTCCAGTTGAGAGGTTAGAATAAGGGTACCCTTTTTCTGTAGTCTATTTTAGTAGGGGAACCCTCCCCCCAAAAAGTTTAAAAGGGCACTACTGGGGGATTTAGATAATCTGCCGGAGCAAACCAATTGGACCTCTCCAAAACGGGGTATACCGAAGGCTCCGTCCGGCGCACGTCTTGGGCGAGCGGGTCGCAAGTTGATGGCAGGGATCTTCGTTTCGTCCCGGTCTGAGTCGGGATCCCTGGAATCGCCCAACTAAGCTATGCAAAGTTTCTCCGGCTAGCACCCTGCCCCCTCACACTGCGTCTCAACACAGCTTGGGGAATGCAACACGTAGCAAGAAATTGCGGTACACACCAACGCCACTGGCAAACCAACAAGCGCGACGAGACGAGCAACAAGGAACACGCCCTAATCCCTATCAGGAGAATATGAGTTTGCATAAATGTATGCCCGAGACATGTCGATGTTCTGATCACCCTCTGAGAGCACCTGGACCCATGCAAGACAGAACGCGGTCAACCACGTCGACATGATCGCATCTTGATTGAACCAGACATTCATTTAAAAACTCCTTCCGATGCCCGAAGCCAAGCTTGCTCTGTGAAGACTTGTCCCAAGCAGACCTTTCAAAAACTAGGTCCTCCAGTAGAGAGGTTAGAATAAGGGTGCCCTTTTTTCTGGTCTATGTTAGTAGGGGCCTCCCAACCAAAAAAGTTGGTGAGAAAGGGCACCTAGCTGGACCTAGAAAGCCTGATTTCCCATTTGTCCAGGTGTTCGGCATTGCCTCGAGAGCTTTGCCTGGTGTCTCTGAGCGCATCCGATCTTTTTTGTGAAGCGGCTCACCTTTTGCGCTCATTGCTTAAATCCTCATGGCTGTCTTCCATTTGCTTAAGCCCCTGGAAAAAAATAAAATAAGCTCAGGTGATATGCCCCAACAGCATGCGGTGCTCTTCTTAGTGCTCGCACAACCCCGCAGCCCTCGCAGAACCTCGTGGAACCCTGGCGGAACCCTGGTGGAACCCTGGTGGCCCCGGACCACCCCTGAGCCTATCTGGGCTGAGACCCCAAAGCTTTCAGCTGTTGGGGAAAAACATAGATTCCCTTTAAAACCAACAGGGGAAAAAAAGTACTCTTAAGCAAATGGACATTGTCTGACATCCCTATTGAGACCAGTGTTGGGTTGTGGTGCAGGGTTTGTTTGGGATGGGTTTGCGGTTGGATTGTTGCTGCTTTAGGGCGTGATGACCATCCTTGCCAACCCCAAATAGCACAAACCTGATTTTGACGGCAAATTGGACCAGGACACCAGCAACCAAAAACTGCCCAGGCACGACCAGCGGGGCCACCGGCAGAAAGAGACATCAGCCCAGGTTGCGCCGGACCACTCGGTGATGAGCAGACCTCTCCGTGAAGTGAAATGATGCACGGACGTGTTTTCGTGATCCTGGCGGAAATCTTCAGCTCGGTTGCCCCTTAGGGACCCAGCTTAAAGCTGATCACCGTTTGGGGGCCATGCCTCAAGGTGGGAACCCGAAATGAGAAAACCAAAAGGTCCAAAGGCTTCAACTGAGCCAGGTATTCAGGTACACTCCCACAGAAAAACTGCCGGAAGCGCTCAGAAGGCCGAATCTAAGTCTTCCATCTCGGGGTCCGTTCGGGAGCTTCCATGGAATCGTCTGGAGGGTATCCTTCCGGCTGAACCCAAATTGCTGCTTGCAATGCGTCGGCCCAGGATCCTGCCATGCTGGCGTTTCGGAGTTGGCTTCTAAACTTTGGCTTGCCGAGCTTCTCGTAGTTGGCTTTGGGCGGACAACAAAATTCTTGGGGAGGCCTGACCCCGCCTCGAAAAAAAAAAAAAAAAAAAAAAAAACGGCTTGAAGGCCATTCTTGTCACTGATATCTCTATATGTATATATATATACCAATATACATATATATATATATATATATAGTGCAGTTGTCTGGATTTTAACCCTGGAAGTTGCACCATGAACAATCCCTAGCACAGATTTGCATGGGCCTTGCTGCTTGGGCTTCGGTTTTTCACTGTCCGTTGTGCACCGTCAGTAGCCCGCCAGCTGCTTTCACTGCGCTTTTCATGGTTCTCTGGCGTGGCAGGAAGGCAACAGTCCACAACTTGACATAAAATCACAACTCACCTTGTCTCCTACCAGCCCCCGTTCGCCCAGCTGCTCAGAAAAATAAATGGTCTGAAATCTCTTCACCCACCCAACTTGGATCCATGTTTTGGAGATTGGCCTTCCTAACTCGGCCCGCCTCCCCCCCAAAAAAAAACATGTTGTTCCTCTTTTTTTAGGTTCCACCCCCCGCCCCCAAATGTTGGTGTTCCTTTTCGTCTTACAAAAACAAACAACAAAAAACAACACCAGGCTGTGTCTTGTTTCTAGGTTGGACTCCCCATCCTCCCCCCAATTGCCCCCCCCCCCAAAAATAAAGGCCCAAAAACGGGTTCCTTCCCCAAAAATCCGACGCCCCAGGAACTTCCTGCCCGCCCCGATTCCGAATCCGCCCTCTGCGAATCCGCGAATCCGCGAATCCGAATCGATCCGCCTGAGGAGCCCTCCGAGTCCCCGAAGAGGAACTTGGGACTTCGGGACACCTCGAAGGCGACCCAACGGGCCCCCCGGCTACTTGAGGCGTGGCATCCGGAACTAGGACCGCAAAAAAGCCGAGAAGATGTGTCGGCTTTTTGGGCCTGGGGATAAGGAAAATAAATAGGGGGGACCCCGAAAAAGTGATTTGTTATACCATTTTTTTTAAACAAGCGAAGAGGGGAACTACTTCTGGGGAAGGCTAGAGCCGGGTTTCTCATTTGAGGACTCGCCTTTTCACTTGAAAAGGGAAACCCAAGAGGAAACCGCATCAAGGACTCGCGATCTTGAGAAACACGCCTTTACTCACTTTCTGAGTGGATTGGCCGAGAAAAGTAACCAATCTTGTTGTTTACCACGAGGGTCTTCCCGCAAAGTGACTCAAGTCCAACTCAGGAAGTGAGTTGAAAGCAGTGAGAATCACCGGAAGCTATAAATTATCGGTGGGGGAAACAGGAAGGTGAGCCTCAGTTTACTTGGTTGCTGCAACGACCCCCCTGCAAAAAGTTCTGATCACTTTTTGGGGGTTGAGTTTTGAAAACCCAACTTAAGATTTCCACCAAAAAGTTGTCCAGTCTAAAGATCCGTTGCCCAATAGCAGTCAAGACAGTTTCGCGCCCTAAGTGCCAAGGCGATTTCTTCGTGGATTGGCCCTGCCTCAGACTCCAAGAGCCGCAGGAAGTTGATGCCATCTGCAAAACTCGCCTCGCAGCGGATGGGCCCGCTGACAGATGCGGGGAAGCGGGAGGCTGGCACAACATCCCTCGGTTGCTGTTTGCTCCCCTGCTAAAAGTGACTAACTTTTAGTGGTTTACTGGAAAACCCAATAGTTGGCAAAAAGTTTAAGTCCTAACATCCAAGCAAAATGCTTCAAAGATCGCTGAATGCTGAATGCCGGCAAATGCACCGGCAAAGAATCGGAGAAGTCCCAGCCAGAATTATATGTGGCATGGAACCTTGAATCAACGATCGGTTTGAGCAGTCGAGGATCGTGCCTGGGGCCGATAAACAAGGAACCGAATCGCAGCGCAGCCCGACCACGGTGCACTCTGCAATAGATTGCTTACAGCCCGTCAATGCCAGGTGCAAAAGAACGGCTTAACCAACATCTTCCTTGCCCAAACATGTTCCACAGCGTGTCATGCCCCTCATGTGGTTGCATGGACTGCATGATTTGACCGCGCCGTTCCCCCATACGCGCGCACTTATACTGCACGTTTGCACGCGCGCACGCCAAAACAACACACATACACACACACACACACACACACACACACACACACACACACACACACACACACACACACACACACACACACACACACACACACACACACACACACACACACACACACACACACACACACACACACACACACACACACACACACACACACACACACACACACACACACACACACACACACACATGCAAGCTCATCGCTTAGCCACCACGCAAGGTCCCCGGGGAAGGTATTCGAGTTAGGTCCAGTTATAGAATGTGTATTTTAGTGTTTGCTTCCGTTTGAGTCACTGGGAAAATGTGAAATGTATCCTAAGTCTACTCTAGGCAACAGTGGTGGCGACTCCAGTAGAGAGGTTAGAAGAAGGGTACCCTTTCTCTGTTGTCTATTTTAGTAGGGGAACCCTCCTTCAACAAAGAAACGGTACAAGGGCACCACTGGGGGACCTAGTCATCGTCCACGCCTCTCCTCAGCTCGGCTTCTGTAAGCTCCCCGCGCCAGCTTTGGGCCGCAAGAGGTCTCAGCAAAGCGAGGCGTTCGAGTCGCAATCGATGGCCTTGAGGGCAGGGGGGTCTCTTTGCCACCTTTTGCGACATTTTTTTTTGCGACAGAATTGGCGACCCCCTCAAAAAAGGAATCCTTCACTGCGAGGGGGTCGAACAATTGTCCACAACTTGGTTGCTGTTGACCCCCCTGCAAAAAGTTTAACTTTTCGGGGGTCTTAGTGGAAAACCCAACTTGATTTCCACCAAAAAGCTAAAGTCTAAAGATCCAACCCAATAGCAGTCAAGACAAAAGCCGGCAAAAAAAAAGAACCCCCCGTGCTTGAGGGTGCCATGGACGAACTGCGGCCAACCACAAAGTGTAATTTCCAGCCAAGCATTTGAATTTGGTTGACGTTGGAAGGGGACCCCAGTAGTTTCCATGGAGGTTCTTCACTCAACTTGGTCTGGAAGGGGAGCAACAAAAACATGATTTAGCAGTTAAGTGGGGGTTTACCGTAAAAATGAAAAAAAAGAAACATGAGCAAACATGTAACATGTGTCCCAACCACAACCATGTTTGAAGGGGTGCCAAACTTGTCGGCTTCTACCCACACAAAGGCATGTTTGTCCGTGGATGGTCGCTTGCGGCACCGTGGCCGGAACATCTGGCTGGTAGATAGTTCGGCGGTCCAATTTGCGGAAACATCCCTCAAGCCCTTTGTTGCTTTGATCAAACACCAGCAATCTTTCCCATCCTGGACCCCTTTGTTGCTTTGATCAAACACAAGCATTTGCTTTTTCCTGCCACTCATGTCGGCCTTGAAACCGAGACACGCACACGAAAACAACTCCCGGTCACTTCTACCCCTGAGGCCTGGTTGCTCAAAAAATTGATACGTTTGAATTGGGGTAGCCGCCGGTGCAGTCTATGGCTTGAGGTCGTCCCCGAATTTTTCCCATTGCCAATCTGTTGAGCGCAATTATTGACTTGCGCATGCTGGACCGAAATGCATCAGCTTGCTCAGATTTGATTCCCTTACACACACTCCGACGCTTGGAGATCCGGAGACACGTGTGTTCTACCGACTTTGCAGGAAACGGGCGAGTGTCCCTCCCCCGGCGCCTGCAAGGGACTCTTCGTTTCTTCCCTCCTGGGTGGCAAAGCTCATCCAGAGGAAATGAAACAACTCCCCGCAGTTGGAGAAACACCTCCTCAGTTGCATCCTGTCAAGAATCCGGAGCCATTTTTTAGCACTCGGTTTATGCTAGCATGACATTTGAAAAGTAACACATACTACTCCCTTCTTCCTTACGATGCAGGTCGCCAAACAAAAATGCAGATTGTTTCCACAACAAAACGTAACAGCAGCTGAGCCAGGGTCAAAAGTCTTTCGCTTTGGCCGATTGGGTCATGGTTCCCTGCTCAGGAATCAGTATAATGGCTCAGGATCCTTGCCAGGAACCGGAATTCCAAAATGGGTTACCCTGGTAAGTGGAAACATGGGTTACCCAAAACCTGCGGTTTGCCCCTCCTGGTTAATTTTGAGCCACACCCTGATAACCTCAAGAAAAGGAACCGGTGTTTTGACCGCGCAGCTTGCTCAATCAGGGCCTTCGCTTTCCCCTGGCTGCTTAATGGCGGCTTCTCATCTCTGCAACATGCCTTGAATCAAAGCTCAGAGCACAGCCGCTCTCCCTCTCTGTCTCTCTGTCTCTCTGTCTCTCTGTCTCTCTCTCTCCTGGATCCTCCAGTAGAGAGGCTAGAATAAGGGTACCAACTTTTTTCCTGTAGTCTATTTTAGTAGGGGAACCCCCCCCAAAAAGGGGTACAAGGGCATTACGGGGGAACCTAGTCAACACAAAGCTGTGCCTGTGCTCCACGAGTTCCAGTCCTGAAAAAAGGTAACTTCCAGCAGCAGCATGCGGCGGTGGGAAACGGACAGCTCCATGAGGTACTTTCCTGGCAGAATCATGATTAGAGTTAGGCCCAGTTATAGAATTTTAGTGTTTGCTTCACTTCGAGTCACTGGTAAAATGTAAAATGTATCTTGAGTCTACCCCAGGAATCTTGGCCATCGCGTTCTCCGATGCCCAGTGGCCATGGGAAACTCCCTTCTGATCGAGTTGATTGGTCAGAAAAAGCAACCAAACTGCTTGCTTTCTACTCAAATGGTCTACACAAAAAGTGAATCAAGTCCAGCAACTCAGGAAGTAAGCAAAAAAAGGCATCCTTCTTTGGTTGGTTGAGTTTAAAGTGGAGCCCTTCCCACAAACAAATCTGACAATAGTAGAGTGCCACAGGGCAACTGGGTGTTCTAGCACACCTGCAACTCTGCAAGTACACAGAAACCTCCTGGCCTTCTCAAACTACCACTGTCACCAACCAAAAATCACCAAAAACGGAGACTGTGAACTTCAACTCAGCGCATGTCTGGCTGGGGCCTACTGAGCAGCTAACCATGCCCACCATGGGCACAGTTCATTTCGTGTGAGGGGAAGGGACTCATTTTGCTACGGTGGATGCAATTCACGTGAAATGTACTCAGCGCGACGGGAGTGTAACATTTTGCACGGCGCTTGCACACTACGATCCGCTGACGACAGCTCAAAGTTAAAGTTGCACTCAGTGTGATCGGCGGGAGCGCACATGTTGTAGCCCAAGCAGTGATCATGACAGCGAGAACGCTTGTGGATGCAGTGAAAAAAATAGTTGCGTCGCACGCGTCGAATCTCCTTCTTTGAAAGACTGCGTTCCATCTGAGAACAACATGTCTTCAAGCACAAAATCCAGTTGCATGGCAGGCTGAATTTACTGGACAGAGGCAGCAACGGCACACAATGAGTTGTTAGCAAAACATAGGCAGGTACTGAGCTTGATGCATGTCATGCTGGAGGAATTCAACGTCATGTCTTGAGAAACAACCAATAGTTATATATATATATACATATATATATATACACATATTATAATCTAAACCTTAGCTAACTACTTTATCAGGAGCCAACCAGCGGCTTAAAAAGCTGCAGGTGTATAGATCTACAGATGTTGGGAGTCGTCGCTTCTCATACTACACCAAGGCCTTAACCCACTTGGCACGGGTCTATGTCTACTTAAAGGGCCTAGGGCACTCAGCAACTTAATAGTAAGCCTGGTTGTAATCCACTTACCAGCGGGTTATAACCAGCCTTACTAACCACTTGCTAAGTACCCGATCGCCCCTTTAGGAGCGTATGGCATGCCTCCAAGCCATGTCCATTTCGGTTGGCTCACTTCTCTCTAGCAAGCCAAGAGCCCATCGTTCAGGACGGTTCCTTGCGCTGACTGTAGCCAGAAACGGCAAAGCAAAGCTGCGGTCTCTGTGTCCAGCCTGCTGAAAGTGGCCGCAAAGAAACCAGCTTCGACGCTTCCTCCTGAATTTGAGACACATCTGTCGAAAACCGCTTGCAAGCCCGGGAATCCGTATGCAAATTCAAGTTAACTTTTCTACTTTTTGGAGGGATGTAGAGAGGGGTGTCGCCAAACATGATTTTTTTCATGTGCAATTGGAGCATGATGCTCCAGGGCCGTGATGAGGAAGCCTGTTCCGTGCAAAGCCGCCCCGAACCATGCGTTGCCTCGGTTCCGTACGAGGGAGGAAAGCCATAGATCAAGAAGCGTTGACGGACGAAACAAAACCATCGGGCTTGGAGGCTGATCAATATCCTGGCTTTCAAATGACCCGGGGCAACTTTGCCCAACTTGCTTTCACATGACCATTGCTTTCAAATGACCATTCGTGGCAACTATTCCTGGCTTTCAAATGAACCAGGGCAATGTTTCCCACTTAGTGGGAAATATATCACCTTTTTGGTGGGTTTCTCCAATGCTCATCCCATGTAGAGGAGCTTTTTATCAATCCTCATATGGCCTGAACTACGGAATGCATAACATATGACTCGAACAAACCGGTCGATACATCCGGCCAGAAGCGAAGGGTAGGCATCCGCTCGAGTGGTCCCTCTCCTCGCTTGAGATTGTCCACTTTTCGCTCTTCAATATGGCTGCGGGTCAAGAATAGGTACCCAAAATGGAACCCTGGTAAATGGACACATTGACTAAAACCTGCGGTCCCCTGGTGGTTTAATTTTGACCCATACCCATAGCCCCAACCCCCAGATACTCGCCAGATCGAAAGGCCGAAAGGGAAAGCCGGTGTCCGGTGCTGCTGTAGCGACCCCCCTATGCAAAAAGTGAATAACTTGTTGTGGGTCCTATTCGGAAAATTCGACTTGTTTCATCCCACACCAGAAAGACCAAGACCTTCCAAACCCATGACCTTGGCACAGGCCCAAGGAGCCATGCCAATCATTCGCTTAAGCCCCATGGAAAACAACTAAACAGTAGTGGAATGGTTTCCCTTGAAAACCAACAAGGGAAAGTACTTACGAACATCAAACATACTCATTTCAGATGGAAGAAACCGCCAGGACTGGGAAAACCAGCAACTTGCTGGTTCGATAGGGGAATGAGAAATGGAGTCTGACCCCGAACAAAAACCATCCATCCGATTTGGTGTCCTTTATTCTTGGTTGACGTTGGAAGGGGAGCAATTTTTGAAATTTAGCAGTTAAGTGGGGATTTCCCACTAAACCACAATAAGCAAAAATGTAAACTGTTTCCCAACAACAACCATGTTATTGGGGAATCCCCACAATCGGTTCATTCCCAAAACCCTCGAAGAATGTCCAAAGACACAGACCTTCCAAACCCACCTTGGCACGGTCAGCCAAGCAGCCATACCAAATCTTCCAGTTGCTCAAGCCCCCTGGCAAAAACAAATCCAGTAGTGAAATCGAGTCCCTAAACCAACAAGGGCAAACAAATACAAACATAAATAAACAAACATACTCATTTCAGCAATTGCAACAAATCGCCATAAGGACGGTTCCAAAGGCGGAATGAGAAATGGAATGACCCCGAACAAAAACCATCCATCCATCCTAAAGACCCCGCTCTCCGTCTCTCCAATGCAAGGGGGGGGGTCTTTTTTGCCACCTTTTGCGCGAAAATTGGCGACCCCCTCAAAAAGGAATCCTTCAGTACAGGAGGGTCAATCATTTTTCCAAAGGTGGCAAACAGACTACATAAACAAAAACACAAATCCAAGAAACCGCCACAAGGGTTGGGGACACCTCCCAACTTGATGGTTTTGATAGGCCAACATAAATACCACACATACATTGACCGCGAATCCCGAAAAAAAATCGGTTCATTCCCAAAGCCCCAAACATCTTCCAGTTGCTTAGGCCCTGGAAAAAAAAAAAACAAGTATACTAATCCCTTGGCCTAAGCAACTGGATAAGTAGACATAAACAAGTCTTTATAAGTAGACATAAACAAGAAAACCCTTGGAAACCAACAAGCCACGTCTCTCCGTCTCTCCGTCTCTCCGTCCCGCCCGCTCGTTGGGCCATGTCTTGGCGCGGCAGAAGGCGCGGTTCAGCCAGTCCGCGCCCAGCGCGGAGAGCTCCGCGGGGCCTTTGGGCAGCGCCAAGCCGTAGAACTGACCTGGCCATGGACTGAGACTTTTTAGGGATGCTGATTCCTTTCCTCAGTTGCCCAAAGGACCTGGAACTAAAAGGTTAACCTTTTGGGGCCATGACTAAATATGGACCAAAATGGGAAGAGGGTGCCTAAGTGGGAAGTGGATATGGGGGGTGGAAGGGGTGGGGGGGGTGGGGGGGGTGGGTGGGGGGGGGGTGGGGGGGGGTGGGGGTGGGGGGGGTTGGGAGCGGGGGGGTACTAAGACTCCTTAAGGATTCCTTTCTCTAAGGGTGGGGCTCATGGACTCGGACGAGTGGAAGAGGGTTCCTTTTTCTGGGAGTGAATAGGGGGGGCAGGGGAGGGTGAGGGGTGGGGGGGTAAGGATGGTTTACCATTTCAAAACCTAGATGAAAGGATGGCAACCTTACTTAACGGACTCCCTATGGCTATAGGGTTCCTTGTGAGAGTGGACTCCTATGAGGGGGGGGGGCGGTAAGGGAGGGGTACTTAAGTGGATAAGGGGGGAGGGGGTAGGAAGGGGGAAAGGGAGGGGGGCAGGATGGCAACCTTACTTAAAGGGGCAGGATACTTAGGAGTGGACTCCTATAAGGGGGGGGGAGTAAGGGAGGGGTACTTAAAGGGGCAGGGGACTTAGCAAGTGGTTATAGCCCAATTACCATGGTTATAAGTCTCCGTTGAGTGGGTTACAACCAAGCTTACTAACCACTTACTAAGTCCCCTGCCCCTGTAAGTAAGGGAGGTGGATATCGGAGTCCCAAAGGGGGAGGGGTACGGAAAGGCAAGCGGGGGAGGGGGGGGTAAGTAAGTTGCACCCGTACCCAGTGCATCCCAGTTACCTATTTGGGCTGAAAATCCTATCGGGGGTCCTTATGTGGCTGCCCACAAAGACATGTTCCTGCACGCTTTAAAAGCAGGTTCCCTACTCTAGGTCCTCCAGTAGAGAGGTTAGAATAAGGGTACTTTTTTTTCTGCAGTCTATTTTAGTAGGGGAACCCTCCCCCAAAAAAGAGCAAGGGCACTACTGGGAGACCTAGTACTTGCTTGGCCTCAACTTCACAGCAAGGAAGCGACAACCAAGAGCCACGCTGACCAAACTCTGACTCCTTCCGCCGTGGCTGGTGAAGGTCACTCGCATTGCAATGAGCAAAGTGTTGCCGTCGGCTTCCGTCAACTTGCTCCAAGTGCCCACTTCAAGGGGCATCGTACTTGGCAAGTTACGGTTAGTAAGCCTGGCTATCCACAAAAGCCTTGCTTTTCTATGTGGGTTATAACTCATCGACTAACCACTTACCTGACGTACCGAATCGATCGGCCCTTTCAGAGGGCTCAACAGAAATTGGGAAATTGTCAGTTTACCAAAGCAGGTCGCGTGCAGAAACCAAAGCGCCGCACCAGCATGTGAACAGCACACCGCTTGGCAAAATGATAGATCTGAACTTGCTGCGATAGGGAATGTGGGAATGAACCGTTGCGGGGGTCCCCTTAAAGGAAACCACCGGTGGGATGGTTTAGGGTCATTCCAGTTTTCATTCCCTGCATCTCTTGCACCGATCGCAAGTGTTGTTTCCCTTTCTGAGCATGAAACAAGGGGTTCCCCATTTTGGAGGGAGCCTGTCTTTTTTTGGGACTTGCCTAGGCCCTTGTTGAAGGGAAAACAAAAGGAAGGCCCTACTCCCAACCTTCCAGAGACAAAGACCGGGAACTGCCTACAGCCAATCTCTGACCCAAGATGTCGCTCAAAGAGCTGCTGAGTGCCCCATCTGCATGTATCTTGGGTATGTCAACAGCTCGGGAAGGAGTACTTCAAGGGGCGATCGATTCGGTACGTCGGGTAAGTGGTGCTCGTAAGCCGGATGAGATATAACCCACAAAAGTCATGATGATAAGTCTCCGTTCAGTGGGTTCTTTCATCAGGCTTGCTAACCACTTACCTAAGGTACCGAATTGATCGCACCTTCAAGTATGCATTGCAGCAAGATGTCTATCGGCCATCTCTAGTTGTGTTCAACATAGCTGTACTGATCATGTCACCCAAATGAAAGGCTCATGTTACCAATTCATTGGATTGGACACATATCCATGTCTGAACGGCTTCGGCTTACAGTAATCCCATGTGCCAATGCACCGGCTGGCCGGCTATTGGAAGAACAGCTACATGCAACGCAGGGGATGTTTGGACGTGCAATGCTAATGATGTTTAAAAAACCAGCTTCTTTTTGAAGACCAAACGTGCAACACAAGCTTGAACATATGCCTTCCGCACGTCAAGGCAACCTCCAACACCCACACACTTTAGTTTAACGGTGCCCCGCACATAATCCACAAGCGCCTCGGCGGACATGCTTTAGCCTTAATAATGAACCGTTTTATGCTTGTTTCAAGTCAATTCCTGCGTGGCAAAGCCCAAGCAGTCTGAAGTCTACCCCAGGAATCTTCGCTTTGAGTCACGAACATGTAAAATGTATCTTGAGTCTACCCCTGGAATCTTGGCCATTCTCCGATGCCCAGTGGGAAACTCCCTTCCGATCGAGTGGATTGGTTACCCCAATCTGTCGCCGGTGTTCCGAGCCTCGGCCTCGCCCCGGCTCCTTGAGGCACTCTTTGGCGCGCTCTTGCTGGCAGCGCTCTCGGACCAGGTCCTGTCGACTGGTCCCAGGAAAACCCCAGGCTTACTGGTAGAACCAGGGATGCGTGGTGTTGTCTTTTTCCCCCGGAAATTGCGCGGAGTCAACCAACCTGGCCAAAAAAAGTTGTGGTTTGCCACTAAAATGGCCTTCCCAAAAAGTGACCCAAGTTCAGGAGCTCAGGGAGTGAGAAGGGGGCAAAAGGTGCTGAACAACGGTATGGCTGGATGCAGAGAACTAGGGACAATGCCGATGGAGACTAGCAGCCCACGTGAAAAAGTGGGCAAGTTCTTACTGAGTTTTGGCTTGAAATAGAAACAGCAGAAACAGCAGAACACACCTTCAAACCAAAGGATTGCCCTGCGAGCATGAAGCAGCCTTCGGCAGGGATTTGGGTGTGTGGGCAAAGTGGCTGCAGTTGGTCGAGCAGAGCTGGTTCTGGTGTGTGTGTGTGTGTGTTTTTGTTTTTCTCGAAGCAAAGCTTAGACGTGTAGATCCTTGGGCACTCCTCCAGCCACGGGCAAACAATATGGGTACCCTTTTTGTTGTTTGAAGTCAAAGGGGAGCCCGTCCAACACGTGAACAACAAGGGGGAAGCAACTCACGGCGTAAAGAAGCAGGGTACTTAGTAAGTGATTAGTAAGCCCGGTTATATCCCACATAGCAAACATATAACCTTTCTTTTGTGCGTTTTTTTTTTTTTTTCACGAGGTGTACTAACCACTTACTAATGTTGACCCCGGAGTACTAAAACCCCTGTCTATGAATCTGGGGGGTGCTTTTTTCCGCTGGTGTTAGTGGGGCTTCATCACTCCAGGGGAACACCTCCCCATATTTCTACCGCTACCCGTGTCATTTCCAGGGATCCGTTTTTAATCCTTTCAGGGGAACCGGATCCGGGAAAAGGGAAAGAAGGATGGGTGAAAAGAATGGACCAGGCATCAACCCCTAGAATCAAAATAATACGACACCGTTTTGTTTTTTTTCCCCTGGGGGGCAACATTCACTAGGTCCAGATTTGAGAGGTTGGAAATTTGGCGACCGTTTCTTTTTCCTGTCTATTTTAGTAGGGTTCGGATTCCTCCCAACCAACCTTAAAAAAAAGGGTAAAAGGGCACTACTGCACAAAAACCTAGTTACGAATCCCGAATCTGTTTTTTTCTTCCACAGCCAAAACAGCCGCACCTATGGACCATGCCCCTTTCAACGGCACCTTCACGGCACGGAGCGGACGGAAGAGACGTCCTGGCCGCCCTCGGCGAGCTCGAGCTCCGCAAAGTCTATGAGCCCAGCCAGCGCTCGCGGTGTGTCGCCCTCAGCCCGGGCGGTGGCCCTCCGAAAAATATCTGGCGGACGGTTTTGGCTGACTAGGTCCCCCAGTAGAGAGGTTAGAAGGGTGCAAAACCCTCCCAACCAAAAAAAGGGGAGAAAGGGACCTAGTCAACAAAAACACAGAGCGCTTGGCAAAACCAGTTGCAACGAAGACACATCGCAAAGGTGATTTCTCAAGCGCGAGTCCAACTAAGACCTGTTCGCCATGAAAACACCGCAGTTGACCGACAGAAGCAGCGCAAAGCTGCGGCTCCGCGGCTGGGCGCTTTGGGTGTTTTATGGATAGCCACGTGGTTTTCACCTAAAACCAGCTCATGTAGCTGGCACTCCTTGAAGCACTCATGAATTCTGATATGGGTGTGGCTCAAAATTAAACAGGAGGGGTTACGCAGGTTTTTGTCCATGTTTCCACTTGCCAGGGCAAGCCATTTTGGGTACCGATTTTTTTGAGCCACAAACATGTGCCACAATTGTAACCGTAGCACCAACAATGACAAATTTCTGCAAAGCGCCAACAGGCTGGCATCGAACCCAGCAGCAAAAGCAAGAAGCAACAGCACCAGCAGCTGTAGAACCAACAATGCGATTGTGGCTACACTCCCTGGAGTGAAACTAGAAGCTCCATTTTTAAATATATATTAATGCATATATATATATATATGTGGTTGCTCCTTAGTTAAGCAACACATTTGTTGTTCTTCTAACGTAGGAAGCCCCGCGGTTCTGCTCCGTCGATCTTTTCGTGTCGCGCCTCGGCATTGGTCTTGCTGGCTGCCTGGCTCGGAATTTTTGGTCAGAACAACGGCCAGCCCAATCTTGTGCGGCCATGGATGAAACAATGAACAGCAACACGCCCTTCTACTTTGCTGTCTTCTTTTTAAGGTTGGACCCTCAAAATTGTGGGCTTCCTGGTGGTTTTCCGAATTCAACCATCCCAAAAAGGGCACCCCGAAAGAACGCCACCCATTCTGAATAAGTTGATACTAAAATAGGCCCTGCAGAGTGTGGAAAAGGTCGGATGTCAGAAAGTTCTCCCGGCGTGATAGGAGTTTTTGAAGGAGAAGGGCGCTCTCCGTGAACTCAAGTAAAGGGGAGTGCCTTTGGACGAGGTTTTGTTGGGAGGTTCCCCGGGCTCTCGGATAGGCTTTGGGCTTGTATGAGGAGCTGAGTCTCTTGCGGGTTAGGCTTTTTTTGGGACTTTGCGAAGACTTTCCATCCCTCTCACCTTGTCAAATTTGAAGATGAGTCGTAATCAGAACCGATCGGTATTATCTAAAATGGTCTACCGAGAACCATGCAAAGGATTTAAACGGCGGCTGCACCCATGAAAATTCTTGGGACTATCCCTTTCTAATCTTCATATACCAAAATTTGGGCTCAGATCGACGTTTGCAGTGAGCTACAGCGCTACAGGTTCAGGACCGAAACCTCAGCCTCAGACCAGTCAGCGGGCAGCTGGCTTCATACTTTGCTCTGGGTGACCTACACCCGCAGCTTGGGGCGGGTTACAAACATCCCCGAACTTCCGGGGCTTGAAGGTTGGGAGTTGGTTACACTTGAACTTCTATATAGTACTTTGGGTTTGATTCAACATAGGGACCGCACCGCCAAAAGCTATGGTTGGGTTTCCCGCCAAAACTCAGGATACTCCTCCAAAGGATAAGTCTCCTTCAGCCTTCCTGCACAAGGTCCTCCAGTAGAGAGGTTAGAATAAGGGCACCAACATTTTTCTGTAGTCTATTTTAGTAGGGGAACCCTCCCAACCAAAAAAGGGTGAGAGGGCACTACCGGGCGGGGGACCTAGTAGAGGAAAAATGCCTGGGCTCAGCTGGATGCAGCTGACCCCGCGCTGGATGGATGGATTGGAGGCAGCTCATGCAGCCCTTCCACTGCCCGCTCCGCCCAGCAAGACTCACGATGCTGTGGGATGGTGACGAAATCCCTTCGCACGAAATGACACCATGAGAATGAAACCACAAGGCGTCTTTCGGTATTTGCAGAAAAATCGATTCAGAGACCAGGGTTTCCGAACGGCGCGAAATGGATCTCGACCAACCACAGCTTGTAACAAGTTCATGATAACAGGAACCAAGTGAATATCGCGGTATCGCGCCTCGGCCTCTGGGGCGTGGTTTGCGGCCGCCGCCTGCGCCTGCGGGCAGCTTGAAGGATGAACGGCAGAAAGGAATGTCCAGATCTCTAGGGGTACCTTCCCCAATCTTTCCAGGGATCCTTCTTTCCAGAAACCTCCTGAAACCCAGGGGAAAAGGCGGTTTTTGAAAAGAACGATGATTGAACAGAATGGGGAATCAACCCCTGGAAGATCCCAAACTTCCGGCAAGTGGGTTTCAGACGCAACTAAGTCAATAGAAGGAAACCCTTAGCGCAGCTCCGAATTTCACTGTGCTCAAGTCATGTTGGCTTTATTGGGCTGTTCCCCTTCGATCGTCAAAAGCCGAAAGCTTATATGGCTGTGGCTCAAAAAACCGGTACCAAAATGGATCCCTGGTAACCGTGGTAAGTGGAAACATGGACCAAAACCTGCGTATCCCCTCCTGTTTAATTTTGAGCCACACCCATATTGAGTGGTAGTTCTACCACACCAACCAAAAAACAAAGCAAAACCTCAGGAATCGGATGCCTGCGAACCACCAAGTTGCTCCAATGCCCGACTTGCTCGCCATCACCCGCCTCTGCCTCGGCCTCCTGCAGCACGAGTTCTTCTTTGTAAGGGGGACCGCCCCCCCCAAAAAAATAAATAAAAATAGAAAATGGCGATGTTCCTTTTTGTTTTCCTGTAAAACAACCAAGAAGGAGTGCCCTCAAGAACACACAAACACACACACCTAGATTGGACCCTCCTGAAACCTGTGCTCAAAGTCTAGTACTATCATTCATGTGAACTCAAAACCACCACCCAACCAGCTAAACGACATGGCCATCGAAGGCCCGCTCTGCTCAAACTGCGTGTGTGCTTGCGTGCCTGCGTGCACGCATGTAGGAATGCATGCAACTGGGCGGCAGGCAGGACGGCAGGCGGGCCTGGGTGTCTGGATGCATCCTCTGTGTGGGTTGTTGTGGGATGAGCAGTGTTGTGTGGGGTGTGGGTGATCCGTGTGCGGAGTGCGCTGTGCAGTGCGCCGTCTTGCAGAGTTGTTTGTTGTGTGCTTGTTTGATTGTTTGTTTGGGCGGGCGTGTACGTCCGAGCGCACATGTGCGCGTGATAGTGCGTGTGTGTGTGTGTGTGTGTGTGTGTGTGTGTGTGTGTGTGTGGGTGCGTGCGTGCGTGCGTGCGTGCGTGCGTGCGTGCGTGCGTGCGTGCGTGCGTGCGTGCGTGCGTGCGTGCGTGCGTGCGTGCGTGCGTGCGTGCGTGCGTGCGTGCGTGCGTGCGTGCGTGCGTGCGTGCGTGCGTGCGTGCGTGCGTGCGTGCGTGCGTGCGTGCGTGCGTGCGTGCGTGCGTGCGTGCGTGCGTGCGTGCGTGCGTGCGTGCGTGCGTGCGTGCGTGCGTGCGTGCGTGCGTGCGTGCGTGCGTGCGTGCGTGCGTGCGTGCGTGCGTGCGTGCGTGCGTGCGTGCGTGCGTGCGTGCGTGCGTGCGTGCGTGCGTGCGTGCGTGCGTGCGTGCGTGCGTGCGTGCGTGCGTGCGTGCGTGCGTGCGTGCGTGCGTGCGTGCGTGCGTGCGTGCGTGCGTGCGTGCGTGCGTGCGTGCGTGCGTGCGTATGTGTGTGTGTGTGTGTGTGTGTACGTGTGTACGTGTGTACGTGTGTACGTGTGTACGTGTGTACGTGTGTATGTGTGTATGTGTGTATGTGTGTATGTGTGTATGTGTGTATGTGTGTATGTGTGTATGTGTGTATGTGTGTATGTGTGTATGTGTGTATGTGTGTATGTGTGTGTATGTGTGTATGTGTGTATGTGTGTATGTGTGTATGTGTGTATGTGTGTGTATGTGTGTATGTGTGTATGTGTGTATGTGTGTATGTGTGTATGTGTGTGTGTGGGTGTGCGCGTGCGTGCGTGTGTGTGTTTGTGTGGGTGTGTGCGCGCGTAGATTCCTCGGAAATCACCCACACACACGCACACACACGAACAAAGCTTTTCAGCGTGCTGAACCTGCCTCTCATCCCAGGCATGCCAAGAAGAAACGAAAGAATCATAAACAAAAAACACGTCCCCCTATGAAGAAATGCACCCAACAAATGATATGTTTATCAGACCCCAGATCTCGAAGTACAGGTTTAGAATTACCCAATAAGGGTCCATATGGAAGCCAGCAAATTCCACGCCGGTAATAATGGGGAGACCAATGCAAAACTAACACTATTTGGAAACCCAGTTGGACGACTGTAGCGGAATCCCCTGTTAACTGGTATCAAAATGTACCCTATAAATGATATCTTTCTGCCCCCCGGCGAATGTCTCTTTAATGCGGGGGGTGGGGGGGGGGGTATGTGTTGTTAGGGGGAAGCGAATAGCACAGCTGATTCTTTCTGAGGTACCTCTATATTTACCTTTCGGCAGCTCCATCGATGGGGGCCGGCACAGCATTCGTGGATTGAAGACCGTGGATACATTCATTCCCTAAAGGTCCTTAGCTTGCAGCCAGCCTGCCATGATCGTATTTGAAAACCTTGTACTCTCAACCGTCCATTTTGCAACTAGCTTACCGCAAGTTCGGGCCTATCAGCAGCATACCCAATAGATTCCCCCACAAGTTGCTTACAACAGGACAAACAAGTCCCAGCAAAGGGCAATTTGCCGTAACACCACTTGCACCAGCCTGCTGCCAGGCAAATGTTGCTTACACATGCACATGCTTCCAAGTCATGCTTGAAGGTTAAACTTCATGAACCCTTGCACTCGCCCTGCACGCACCACACAAACATGATGCAACATGCCCGTGCAGAAATAAAAAGTTGCTTCCTGACTAATCTGAATTGAAGGAGGATAGAACAAACCCCCGGTGCGATGACACCAAGTCAGCATGACGCTCTGAGTCTGTGTCGGTTTTCATGTCAGCTTCTCCCCCAACCAAAACTCATGTTTGATGATTCTGGTTCATGTCTAGTGAACCTTAAAACGCAGCATAGTTTCAAAAGAGTGTTTGCACACTTGTGGCCGAATGTGGCTCACAACAAGAGCACGCTCTTGGCGGCATTCAAAACCCGGAGAGCAAAAACGCATTTGATTCTGCTCCATGTCTTTAGCGAACATGACGCAACTTAGTGTCAAAAACCACACGTCACGTTCACAAACACCTCGTGGATCCATCTATGTGTCCTCAGAGATTCTATAGGTTTGAACGAGGAAAAACTAGGTCGAGAGCTTAGAATAAGGGCACCGTTTCTTTTTTTATGTAGTCTATTTAGGGGAACCGTCCCTCTCCCAACCAAAAAAGGAACGGTGAGAGGTCGGTTGCACCAATCGCTGGACCCAGAAAAACCCACCCGTGGGTTTTTTGAGCCCCCGCCTGCCGATCTAACTCCTCGAAGGCGAACATCTGAATCCGCCATGAGGCGCGGGGGTTTTGGGGGCCGAACCTTTGGAGCGGAATGGGGAAGCGGTTTCAGGGGCTCAAGGACCTCCCAGTTCAAACACCGCCCCGTAGTTTGAAGTCTGGCAAACTGTGCATTGCCATGATTTCCTGGGAAGGGCTTAGTTAAAGGACAGCGTCCAAGTCTGGAGTCTGGCAAACTCTGCATGGCTGCCATGATTTCCCCAAGGAACGGCTTTGCAGCATGGCTGTACCCTTCCCTTTTCTTTTAATGATCTGGCTGGTCCGGGTGGCTTCGTTTCCCATTCGCAGACCAATTTGCTAGCGGCCGGCGGCCAACTGAGGTCCCTTGAAAAAACAACTCGCGAGTTGCCTTAATTTCCTTGGAACGGCTAAGTTACAGTGGCGACTGCGCAGTGATGGCTGTTCCGGTCCAAAACTGAACCACACGCTCTGCGTATGCTTGGCGGTGATAACACCCGCCCGGCAAGTGACATGGTCCGTGAGAAACTCGATTGGGGTTCAGGAAATTGATTGCTGGTGCTGTATATACTATACAAGGGCGAGCAACTCATGATCTAAACACTTGACATGCTTACAGTATCTACATCTGCTCTTGCAGTTTGAAAATCCTGCTCACGCATTCTGGGTATCCAAGCTGTGAGTTCCACAAAAGCCGTGAGCCACAACTGTCCTGGCTTTCCGCTTGACGCAGGCAAACTGCTCAACTCTTGTCCACGTAACTCGGCCAAAAGCTAAAAACTGACAAATCGCAGACCTGCCATTCGCTCGGCTGCCCTTCAAAAATCGGATGCTCGGACTCTTTCATCTGCCCAAGGTTCTGAGCGTAAGAGGGAAACGCAAATCCTTACACCTTGCATGCTTGATGTGTCTAGTCAAACCGCATGGTTGACTTCGACTTTGAGAAAGGACAAGTACTGCTTTCTCAATCCCCGGCTGGCCATCTTTCTCCCACATCAAAAAGGCAAGTGAGCATCAGGTTCAAGGCCAATCGAATTCAGTATTCATTAGAATCACTTCTTGAGTGGATTGGCCAAACATACCCAAGCTGTTTGTGCGCCACTAACATGGTCTTCCCAAAAGGGTAAAGTCCAGGAACTCAGGGAGTGAGTAGAAATGCCAAGCAGTTTTGTCTTAGGACTGTCCCACAAATCCAGGCCTTGCAACAAATTGCAAAAAAAAAAAAAAACTGACTAGACTCGGTTGCTTTCTGCTCCCCTGCTAAAAGTTTAACTTTTAGTGGTTTAGTGGAAAACCCATTAGTTGGCAAAAAGTTAAAGTCCTAACAGCCAAGCAAAATGCACCAAAGAAGACTCGCTAGAGCAAAGTGACACACGATCCGGACACCTGGGCATTGTGCCTCTTGGCCGTAGTCTGAACCTATTTGCTGACACTGTGGTGACGATGAATTCAATGCAAAGCTCTGTTCCAACTTTGGCTTTATACGCATCTTTAAACCAGGAAGATCTGATTTGCTCCCACCAGATCCAGATCGACATGGTTGTGCTCTTGAATGACAAAACCGAATTCAAGGATGAACAGTGAACTGGTCCAAACATCGCACACCTCTTCGGCAGGTGGCAAACATGTTCTGTTCTCCCACTTCCCGGAACCGAACTGGCACAGGCCCGGAGCTTTCATGGTCCGCCATTCAAGCACGGTCGATTGAAGTGAGACTTTTTCGCGGAATGGACTGAAGTGCTGGTGATATGAATACGAGCTGACCACTTACTATGGGGTGTTGTCAAAACTACGGAACCCTGTTTTGGGACCTAGTGCCGCCGATAAGTGTCGCATTTCAAGGGGGATGCCAAAAAAGTGCCACACCTTCCCATGGACCGCAACAGCATGTCAACATGAAGGTAGCAGGGCTGGGCGGTTTCGAACCTGACATGCGACCAAGCAGGGCCATATCACCATGAGTTGTTGACCTCGCCACTTGCAAGCCTTCGCTGCACTGTGCTTTTTCCGGAGTTTGGAAAATCAACAGAAGCTTCTCTAGGTCCTCCAGTAGAGAGGCTAGAATATGAGCCATGCTGGGATCAAAATCTCACCCTGGCAAGTTCAACCGTTTTACCTACAGAAACAAACAATTCATATAGCAAACAAACACTGATAGTGGCATGACCATGCTTGCTGCAAGGCATTTCACCGCACTTCTACCCAATCGGCTGACCGGCCTCCTTTGGAGCACGGGTAAGTCCTAAAAGCTTCCCCCAATCCCGTCCCAGGTATCACTCCAGAAATGGGCTGGGAGCTAGCACGTTACATCCACGTATGAGCCCCTGAGGTGTATGATTGTTGGGCTTCTGGAGAAAAAGAGGGTCACAATGTAGCAACCCGGGTGTTGGTAAGACTTGCTGGAGCTCAGAATGACCCTCATAAACCATCCAACTGGTGGTTTCCTTTCTTCGGGAATCCCCGAAACGCTTCATTCCCACCTTCCCCACCTCTCGCACCAGCCAGAAAATCTGCTTCAGGAGAGATCGACGGCAGACAGACTCCGCTTCAGCTCAGCGTAAAAGCTCCGGCTCCGACTTCTCGAGGCTGGTGAGGAGTTTGGACCAATCTTCCAGGCCCTTAGCTGGAAGCGAACATGGAAGGGGCGGCCGGGCTGAGTCGCCCAAACGCCTGAGGAAAGTAAGTCACCCTTCCTTCCAACCTGGCATGCCACAAAAACAAATGATAAATGTCCAACAACTAAACGGACCTTCGTCATGGATAAGCTCCAACCTAGCGTGTCACAAGCAAAAATCATAGATGTCCAACACCTTCATGTATGAGCTTGTCGCAAAACCCCATCCAGGCGAGTGCATGCTGGCTTGGCCAGTTACACTGGAACCCACACCTTTCTATAAGAACCGTGCCCATCCTATAGTCCGGGGGATTGTTGGTCCAAGATCTCAAGCGCTTTCCCAACCTTTGCAATGAACACGTGCTCCGGATCTTGCAAGCTTATGCTTTGTGTAATTGTCAGCCAACATGTTAACGCCATCCACAATAAGCTGACCAATGGGCCAATCACAGAGCCATTTTGCCTCAACAAAGCTACTGTGCAATCAAAAAGCACCCCCCTCCATTCTGTTTTTGTAAGGGGTCGAGTCACTCATTCCCTCCGATCGCTTTAATAAGCCAAACACATGCCGATTGTGGGTCATTCTAGAATAAAGGATAGAGGGAATGACAGCACAGTTGGGGGAGGCCCTCTTGGGGGACCCTGGTTTCGTTTGTGTCACCTTCAACAGGGTGTTCCCACCAAGTGGGGGATGTTGACAACGCTGACTTCAGATTCAGGAGCAACATCCCCTTTCACTTTGGCACCAACAAGTTCCACAGCTGACCTTGGAACGCGAGCAAGATGAAGCACGGATCTGGGCTTCCTTGACACGGATCTGTAGATAAATAAGCCTTATAAGCCCAAACACAGGATCCTTGGTTTGTGGAGTGCAGAAACGCCAGAAAAAAAGTCAGTTGGAGATCAAGACCCATGTCGAAAACATTGCAAGGAACTGGATCAGTGGGGACCGGAAGCTACTACCTGAGCTTCTAGCTGGATCACTGGGGGGGCTGAGACAGGGATCCGTGAAGGAATGATTCGCCCTGAGCAAAAGATGGGCATGGACAAAATGTCGGGAATGCTGTGCAGGAGCTGTTCACTTTTCTTTTTTTCTTATTTGACGCTGTCAGTCATTGCAGCAGGAACAGGATGAGTCAAACGTTGCCCAGTGGAATGGGTTCAAGGCCACACTTCCAGTGGATCGCAGCTACCCATGTAGGGAATCAACCCCATCTTCCTCTTGGTGTTTAAGGCAAGCCCTTTGGCTTCCTGCGAAATGGGAAATGGGAAATTACTCGGTGTGTCTGTGTCAAGAAAGCCCCATAGAACTCATCCGGCCCAGCCTTGCCCCTTCTCCCCCCTGCCTCCTCTGGCGGCGGCGGGCTTCTTCTGGCCAAGGGCGGCCCCAACTGCAGAGGGAGGAACCCGGTTGCCGACTTAAAGGGGCGATCGATTCGCTAAGTGGCGGCTACAATTAGAGATAGCTGAGGGCTGTGGGAAATGGAATCCACGAATCTGTGATACAACAAAAAAGGGCCCCCGAAGACTGACCCCCCATATAAAGAGGGGATTCCCTTGTATCACAGAAGTGGGGATGAACCCCTTGATCCCACAACCCTGTAGCTGATGGACATCTTGCTGCAATGCAGACTTAAAGGGGCGATCGATTCGCCACGTCAGGGAAGTGGTGATTGCAAGACTGGTGAAATAATTCCACTGAACGAAGACTTATATCCATGGCTTTTGGTGGGTTGTTTCACCAGGCTTCGGATCACCACTTGCTAAGTACCCGATCGCCCCTTTGAGTAGAGGCAAGCTTGCCACCGGGTGTCACTTTCTGGCTACCATTGGTTTCACCAAAAACAACAACTATCACGCTGCGAACCAGCGCGGTGGCGCTTGACTCAAAATGATCATGTCTCTTGCATCTCTGATCACAGACGTGGATCAGCTTATTTCGTGTGACCGCAGGGGCAACATGTTGAGACACAACGCGTAAATGACGATACCCATAACATAATCAGGCATGTAAAAAATACAGTACATCAAACCTGTAGTTCATGGTGTTGAGAAAAGTAACATAGCAAGACATGTAGCATGCCATTCTCGCTGCTAAATCTCATTTGAACTCCACTAGACCATGCAGCACACTTCTGTGTTTCCGACGCAGCGGTGCTTCAAACAGCTCGTTCCTCCTCTCTGAAGATCTCATTTCCGTCTGCGGTGGTTTCTGTTTGTCTGGCTTCCCTGACCCTGAGGTCGCAAACAGATCCAATCAACAGTCTGGTCAAGCAATACGGTCATGTTCCAGATCGTCTGAGGAACTTTGCCTGTTGTACTATTTCCATCGTCTCCATTTCCACCACTCCGCCGTAAGTACATGGGTTGGTCTTGCCCCCTGAGCGAACAAATCGAACCTTGGCAAGTTCAATGGAAAAACAGTTTGTCGCAAAAACGTTTTGGAGGCTAAGGGCAAAGGTCACAAAGACCAGCTATGCGTGTGTTTGTGTAGAAGTGTTTGACCAAACCTTGCGCACATCGTCAAGGGCTAAAACGCTAAACCTGCCGGTAATGCCCATCACCTGTGGATCGGCGGCTTCATCCCAACGGGAACCCTGCGAAACCCCCCTAAGCTTTGGTTGGCACCATAAGCCCAAAGCTATTGAACTCAAAACTAGGCTGGAATTAGAACCCCTGCAAAAAAAATATCTTTTTTGCTTGGGTAGTAAAAAACAAAGAAACCCCCAAAAAAGCAAAAAAGCAAAAAAGCAAAAAAGCAAAAAGGGGAACTAATTCTGGGGAAGAAAAGCAAGTGGTTCGCAAAACGGGCTCCCTCCAGGCCTGCGGAAGGCTCCGTACGCCGGCGCCTAACAGCTGTGGCCATTCCCCTCGGACGAGTCCGCAGGGGTGCTGTAGCACTCACTTCCCGTCGAGCGGATTGGCCGAAAAAGTAGCAGACTTTTTACGTTCCACTAAAATGGTCCAAACCCAAAACGTGTTTAAAGTCCAGGAAGTCAGGAAGAGAACAACGACATGGGGGTTAATCAAAAGGTCCTATGAACATGGCATGACCATTCGTTGGAAAACCAAAATCATGATGATATGTCAATGAATCTTGTCAAGAACTACATTATTTTGAAGTCGCGGAGGTCCTACGATTAATTAGGAGAAAATTCCCAATTCTTTCCAGAGATCCTTGTTTCCAGAAAACCACAAACACCCTAAGGAGCGGCAGGCTGGACTTGTTCATGTGTAGTACGACACGCATCCTTGTGTTTGGCGTCTTGAGACTGCGGTCAAAATGAAGCGCGTGGCTGGAAAACCGGGTAATCCCTACAGGATCGAGTGGTCTCGAAGGATGAAATGGAACGTATGCCCATTCTGCGAAGCACTAGGAACATGTGCCTGTCCACGAAAGCAGTCTTCAAAATATGTGTGTTGTTGTCCTTGCATGTTCTTAGATGTGGTGCCCCGCTCACAAACAACACACGTCTCATTCTTGTTGCTCACCACTTGCTTCATTTAAAAGACATCTTCCGTCTTCACTGACAACCTGGCCATATTCAAATGATCTTATTTGCAAGTCAGTAGGTATGTTGGAATCCGCACGAATGCTGCTGCTTGAAATCGCGTAATTCCAAAGGGACCCCCCCCTCACACACACACACAACAACACCGCCCATGGTTGCAGCCTGACGCTGGGGTTCAAACCACCATGAAACAATGGGGAATCATGTACCCATCATTGTTTACCGAACAATTATCATCATGAGAGTTGAACCCTTGGGCGAACCTAGAAATCACAAGCCATCATTGCCTCTTGCACAAATGTTCAAACTCTGAAGCTTTGCATGGAGGGCGCTTGGCAAGCTCTGAGTATGAGTACAAGTAGTTTGGTTTGGAACAAAATGGCCCCTGCCGGATCAATTGTGGCGATGAACTGAAAGACAATCTGCAGATACAGGGACGCCTCAGCCTTTCCAAATGAGCGCAGCTTCGGCTTGGCTTGTTCACCGGGACATGCTAGGATCAAACGGAGCCCTGCGCTGGCTCTCCTTGTCTCAGCTTGCTGCTGCGATTGGTTGGGCATGTGGGAATGAACCCAGGAATTCCCGAAGAAAGGAAACCACCAGTTGGATGGTCTGCAAGGGTCATTCCCTCATTCCCTAGCAAGTCAAGCAAGTGATGAACGTCAGAACTGCAGAGTAGAACTTTCTTTCAGACGGAACTGGACTTGCTTGATACCGAACATGGTCCCCATATCAAGGCTTCCAGTGCCGTCCGAGCCCCGAGCCTCGCCCGTGAGATGCATCAGCGATGCCCTGCACTCCGAGTCAGACAACTTAGCGACTGACTGATAAACCAAGATCGCGCAACATGAGTAGAGTTAGGCCCAGTAGAATGTATATTTTAGTGTTTGCTTCACTTTGAGTCACTGGTAAAATGTAAAATGTATGCTTTAAGTCTACCCCAGTCAGCAAATATACCGCAAAATCAACAACAATCGCGTCTGACTTGCCTGACATGGACTTGTGAGTCACCCTCTGCAGCGTGCTTGACTCTGATTCCAGATCGAACAGCCACCTGTGCAAGTCAAGAACTGTATAAATAAGCAGGGATCCTTACATTATACACCTGAACATTGCCTTGTAAATGGTGGGTTCCCTTTATTTTGGTGTTGAAAAAGCCATGCTTCAATTGGGCAACATGTATCTTTTAAGGAGCCCTGCAAGAGAAGAGAGGATCGAATGTATTGCCGGGCAGCTGGTAGCTGGTGCACTTTCTTTGGCCGCATGCTGGACAAAGATAGTCAGACCCGCAGACCGCTGATTCCCTGAGTGTACAAGCCAAGTCAGCATGTTTGGCAACTCCCGTGCTTGCTTAAATACTGCTTTGCGCAGGAAGCTTTGCTGTACATTTGAGGATGTCGAGAATGTCAATTCAAATAAACCGAACATCAAATACAGCCAGATCATTGTAATGAGAACTTCCTGACTCAAGTGCATGGTCTTGCAGTGAGACTGTCTGTAGGGCCGCAATTCTGGCTTATTTGTCATTGGTGTGGTTGTTGATCACAGGCAGGACCAAGCAAACATGTTAGATGCACCATAAGCATAGGGGAAACAAGAGACGTGCATTTGCCCCTGCAGAACTTGCACCTGCCTCTCCCACTGTTTTCGCTACCGGTATTGCTTGGAGGGTGCAGCTACACACTTGAGAATCAAGCTTGTTCAGGTGTAAGTAATGTTGTGTATTGTGTTTGTTTGGTTAACCAGAAAATTATTCGGCCGGATAAACGTTGGCGCGGTGGGGGACGTTTTCTCATTGTCTGCGTCGTGTTGGTCGCTGCTTCGCTTGAAGAAGCATTGTATAGCCACATGCCACTTTCTTTCACACAAGACCTAGCACATCCTAGCACAGCCCGCAAACATCCAGAACGGACACATTCTCAATGGTGATCTGAATGCCCTGCGCCGCTTGGATCCTCAAAGTGTTTCTGGGGCAAGGGGCAGGCGGCGCAATTAAAGAATCAACCTGAGTAACCGGGCCAGGAAAAGCTGAACACGCTGCTTGAGTTCCGAGCTTCCTGCTCTGTGATTCGTGAAAATATTGCGCGTGCTCGCTTTTTTCGGGAGACAAGCAAGCGGGAACCAAGGATGGAGCAGTCTGTGGGTAGCTCATCCTGAAATCTTCTGGTTCCAAGACCTTCCATTGCCCTTGTCTCTTAAGCGCAAAGAGCACAAAGCCGGCCACGACACCTAGCCTTGACGCCCTTTGTGAAGCCCTTTGCCGCCTGGCGAGCCGGAGAACAGCTGATTTTTTTTTGGGGGCAAGAAATGCGCAGGATAAAGTGGACTCAGCAGATGGTAGAACCATCTGCCGTTACGGGGCCATCACCCCGGAGCTGCTTTTGGGCAGCGTTCTCTTCCCAAGTCGAGTTCCCTTACGTCCGCAACAATGGCTTTCCTGCCTCCCCCCCATATCTGCTGAGGCTCAGAATATGGGGCCCCGAAGAGCCCACATGATAAGCCCAGTTGCATATTTGAGACCAATAGATCAGGCAGTGTTTGAAATACGACCCAATGAGTGTAAACAATGACCGCAAATCAGCAAGCATAGGGCTCTATCGCTCTCTTTGGTCTCAATGGATGGAGAGCTCTGTGCGCACACATGCTTGCATCAGGTTTGCGCCAAATAGCAATAGTATGGATTGCATATGGCCATGGGTCAAAATCCCGCACCCCCCAGTGAGCATCCTAATCCCCACCAGACTAAAATGGGCGGTGAATTCACCTACCAACCAAAATGGGATCCCAAAACGGTTTTGACCCACAGCGGCAAACACGAAGATCCGGGCTGGAGGGGCTCCTGACCCAAGATGATCATCCCCGCCCCACCCCACACCACTCGAACCCAAAAGTGAAAACAAGCCAAGAAGCATGGCTAGAGTTAGGCCCAGTAAAAGAATGTATATGTTAGTCTTCACTTTGAGTCACGGTAAATGTAAAAAATGTATCCTGAGTCTGCCCCAAAAGAAAAAAACACATCCGATCCCCCCACCCCCCAGCCCCCACCCTGACCCAAACAGGCCAAGAAGCGGGACCCTTTTTGGGTAAGCAAAGCCATGAGCACAACTCTTGGTTGACGTTGGGTTTGGGGAGCAACAATTCTCAAATTTTAGCAGTTAAGTGGTTGGATTTCAACCACCAAACCACAATAAGAAAAAAAAATGGGACAAATGTTTCCCAACAGCAACCATGAACTGGTGCTGCATGCGGCTGGGGCCAGGCGCCTGTCGCTGGAAGGCAGTGCCTTTCGGCTTCTTCAGCGGCGGAGGCTTGCTTTCCTGGGCTCAGCGTGTCACAACCCCTGGGGTTCGAACCACCATTGAAACAATGGGGCTTCATATAACCATCATGGTCTACGCACACTTTTTGTTTTATCATCATCCAAATTTGGTCAACCATTCTTGGAGAGGGGGTTTGAGCTGCAGGGAATCTCTTCAGAAGGAAAAACCGAAAACGACAACCCCCGATCCGAGCGCCGTTGCCAGAAGGGCCGCAGCCCGGCAAGCTGCTCAGGCTGCAGAAACAAAGACTCATTCGCTTTAAGGCACTCCGCTCCAAAGAAAACAAACGAGAAAAACAAGAAAAACAAGAAAGAAACAAAAAACAAAAAAGCATGAACCCTCGCCCCATGCCCACCTGCGAGTCCCTGAAACAAAGACATGGCCCCACTAGGTCCAGTAGAGAGCTTAGAATAAGGGTACCGTTTCGTTGTTCTGTCGTCTATTTTGGTAGGGAAGCCCTGTGCCAGATGGCCTAAATATATCCATGCCAGAGGATAATCTAAGGGTAGCTTCCAACCAGTCTTTCCAGGGATCCGAATATTTCTAGAAAACCACCAAAAACTCTGGGAAAACGGATGCGGTTTTTGAAAAGAACGATGGTTGAAAGAATGGAAGAGGAATCAACCCCTAGAGATAAGGCGTTGATCGTCCCTTCAAAACGAACAGACCGGGGGCTGGCAGGGGTCTACCTTCTCAGCAGCAAGGCGCATGTCATTGTCATCATGCTGCCGGAGCAAATCTTAACAATTCATCTGAACATCAAATACACTGCAGCTGGGCAATCAAGGCAGGTCCCACTCAATTCTATTCAGTTTGCCTTCAGGAGGTGCGAGGTTCAATCCAGAACTAAACGCCGAAAATGTTGAAGGCACACATGCCTGCTTGAAAGATGCGCCGCTTCCTTTCAACATGTGTGTGTCCACCACAGCACTTGTGGACGACAAATCCGGTGAGCGGCCGCTTCTCACAAATCCAGCGTGCTACTTGATGGCTGGGAGCGTGTTGAACAAAATAACAACCGCAAAGTGAAACCGACAGTTCTAAAATTGTGTCTCAGCAACTCCTGATTATTTTGCCACATGAACTGGTTGTAGAGATATGCGGAACATGGCGGAAAAACAGCAATGTTTGTAAAGCCGGCGGCTCATTGGGCCAAGACTCAGAATTACGGCATGATGCTGCATGCCTTCCGACGAAAGAATGCTGCTGTGGTTCAAACTTATCTTCTTCACTCAATATTGCATTCGGACCAAACAGGAAACCCTTTTGTACATTCGCATGGTGCTTGCTTGGTTTACTTGCAAAAAAAAAATGGCAGTGGCTCAAAAAACCGATACCAAAATGGGTTGCCCTGCTAAGTGGAAACATGGACCAAAACCTGCGGAATAGCCCCCTCCGATCGTTTAATTTTGAGCCACACCCATATGTTTGAAGTCTCCACGGTATCTGCCCTCGCGCCATCCCCGCGGTCTGGTTTGGACCCTGGGGCCCTGGGAGCCAGGCATAAGACTTGCCCTCGCCGTGCACCACGGGATACACGCCCTGGACGTTGGTCTCCAACTGAGCCGCTTCATCCCGACCCGACGAGCGCGAGAGCCGCCCCGGAGAAAAGCCACGGACGAAGTTTGGAGTCCTCACTTCCAATCGAGTGGATTGGCCACAAAAACGGAACTCCCAACCTTTTTGCTTACCACTAAAATGGTCCAAACCCAAAAAGTGACGAAAGTGTGAGTTCCGGAACTCGCATCTGACCGAAACCAGTTTAGGAGCCCTGTCAGCGAACAGTCCACCCCATGGAGAGGCCGGCTGTGCGACGGCTAACCCTAGACTGCGACTCAGCCCAACAGCGATCCCAGCTCATTGTTTCGCGTCATGGCTGAACTGGAGTTTGAAGGTTGAGGTCGAGGTGCTTTTTTTGGGACTAGCCCCGGCCCGGCAGAAGGCCTCCCATCATGTTGGGAGCCCTTGCTTCACTCTTAGGTTGGGCCGCAACATGCGGAACTCTCTCTGAGGCCTGGTTGGCTAGGCTGGTCGGGGTTTTGGGTGAGTCTTGGGCGTGCTGAGATCTTGAGGGCAGGTTTTTGATTTGATTGGTCCTCGTTTAGACTGATATGCAGGATGCTGTTGGGCAGGTTTAAGGTTGACTTTGGGTCGGCTTGGGGCTGATTTGTGCTAGGCTGGTTTAGCAGTGGCTGTTGCTTTAGGGATGCTATAGGAATGTGGTTGCGGGCTAGTTCTGGTGGTTTCGGGACCGACCAACCGACCAACCGACCAACCAACCAACACCAACTCACAGCCGTTGGGCAGCCAGCCAACCAACCCCGAGCAACTCTTAGCCTCCAAATCACAGTCAATACGTGGCCCTGACACCAAGCAACCGAGGATGCTGGGGATGTGGCCTCCCAGCGCACAAACGAACGAACGAACGAACGAACCAACCAACCAACCCAGCCACCTGGCTACCGGGGTTGAGCCCCCGCCGGAGCTAGTTCAAAAAGAACGGCTCCGAGTTAGGCGGAAACAAAATTCAAAATGCCTTGCTCAAATGGATGGTTGAACCTTCCAGGGATTGCCCGGCGCATTTGAAACAAACGTCTGTCACACGTGAAATCTGAAACGCCGGTAAAAAACGCTGAGCTCCCGACGCAGAGTGCTTCGAAGGTGGTGTGGTGATCGAACCTGGCTTAACCCTCAGTCTCCAAGGTGACTGAAAATTTGCCGTCTGACCCAAATGCACCAGAAACTCAGATGCCCAGTGGCCATGAGGACATATGAAGGGGTCGATTCCTGCTTTGTGCAAACGAAGACTGCACCCCTGTAAACAGTAAACAGCTTTCAGGTTTCACCCCCCTGAGCTTCGAACTGTACCCATCTCTGGACAAAAACCTCATCAGAAGCCATCCCATCGAGTGAGAAAGTCAGAATCAAGTGATCTTGCTACATTGCCCAGCCTGGGCCACATCGTAGAAGACGTCTTTACCACAGCTGAAGCAGTCATTATGCCATCAGAAAGCCATCAGAAAGTTGGATCTTACGGCCAGCTTGAGTTGATCTATGCCATCTTGTGGCGTTATAAAAGTCAGTAGTAAGCCTGGTGAAATAACCAACTGAACGGACATTTATAGCCATGGCTTTGGGGGTGATACTGTGGATGGACAAAAATCATTTCGCACCACGTTGAAACCATGGTAAACCATGGCTTCTTGGAATTGTTAGACGGGAATCGAATCATGTTTGGCTTTCCTAGATGGCGCGAAATGGATTTCGCCCATCCACAGTATGGCTGCCGCTCTGGAAGGAAGATAAGCCTTGAAGGCATTGACTGGAAGCCTCGAAGATACGCTTAACTGCTAGTGGCTTAATGGAAAACCCATTAGTTGGCAAAAAGTTAAAGTCACCAAAAATAATATATCCGGCCCGTTGACCTCAGGCTGATACGAATCGCTTAACCAGGCTTACGATCACCACTTGCCCTCCATTTGCTTTTTCGTCCCCTGGAAAAAATGAGAACATATTTTCAGTAGTGAAATCGATTCCAACTTTAAAACCAACAGTGTCTACAACCTGCCAGGGGTTCTATTGAGCCTTCCTGTGCCCATGAAAGCACGTATTTTGTCCAGGAAAAAAACTATTCTTAGCCAAATGGTGAATAGATTCCAACTTTAAAACCAACAGGGGGAAAAATGAAAAAAAACTATTCTTAGCCAAATGGTGATAGATTCCAACTTTAAAACCAACAGGGGGAAAAATGAAAAAAAAAACATATTAACCAAATGGTGATAGATTCCAACTTTAAAACCAACAGGGGAAAAAATATGTTCAGCAAATGGAAGTTGCCTGACGTCTGCATCGATCCCAAAGGCCTCGGCCCAAGGTCATCACGCCCGTGTGCCGCGTTCTGGCGGGCGATTCGGAGTCACAGCTTCGGAGACGATTTGGGGTCGTGACATCTGGCTGTGGCACAAAAAACCGGAATCCCCAAAATGGGTTGCCCTGGTCAGTAAAAACATGGACCAACACCTGCGGTTTGCCCCTCCTGTTTAATTTTGAGCCACGCCCGTTTGGCTTTGGAGGAGTCGTTGAAAAAACTGCCTCTTGTGCAAGCGAACTAGGGGTGGCTCGGTTCTTTTTTGAGGGTACCGCTTTTTGGCTGTGTTAAAGGGAAACCAAAAGAACGATCACACGTTTTGCTGATTTTAGGGGGTCGCCTATATATGCTTTCGTCTTTGCTCGAAAAAGGCGGCAACAGCAACTCCGTTTGCAGTCTTTTCTAGAAGCACAGCAATTGTCAAAACATACAGCATGAGTTGCGCATTCGGCAACGGAGGTCCTGTGTGGATGCTGCACGATTTGACGAATCTAATCTTGACATATCAGATTCCATGATGATTTCATCATGCCTGTCAAATATGTTTCCAATCTGCAAGGATTCAGGACGTCTGAGATAATGAATCCGAGCCTTTGGGCCCTGGTATTGAGTCATATCTCCGGCCGGGGTGCACCTTTATGGCAGACATGTCTGCACATTGGTGCAACTGAGAGGTGACACTCATGTATTCAAACTGGCTGACTTCAATATCTCCTTGTGTTTTGTTTTTTCAGGGAGCTCGCAGCTCATGCTTGTCTGGCATTGTGCTTCACCTGTGGCTTGTTCAAGAGATATGCCCTGGAGGGCCGCACGACGCCTCAGCACTCTCTGGACATTCTTCTTCTACAGGTGCTTGTTTTGAAGAACATCATGTTCCTTGTGGCTGAAGTCGACATGCGTCATTCCGCAAATGCAGGACTCCACGCAGAAGGTATGACTAGGTGATCTTCTAGCTAGCTTCATTCAGTCAAACCCCTGGTTTGATTCATAGGGGGGTGTCTCCTTTTAGTGGGGATTCATCACTTTTGGAGGGAACACCCCCCTAATAATGGGACGGGTTTATTAATCCTGGGTCAACCTCAGAATGCGGAAATTCAGCTTCGCCATTTCAAAACTACAGATTGAGCACAGCCGCTTGACCTCCCGAGCTTCCCGTGCGGTGTCAGGAAAGCGAGTAGTCGGGAAATCAGCGTAAGAAGCATAGGCGACCTTTACAAAAAGTAGACGGCCCGGTACATGGATTTAAAACCAATCCAGGCCAGTGCCATCTATTTCGAACCAAACTGACCCAACAATGACACCTATGACAAGAAGGGTGTTGCCTAAACTTCGAAGCAACTTCATGCGGCAGCTTTTGCCTGGGACATGAAGTCGTCTCCCCCGCGTTTTTTTGGGTCCACGTACCGACCACGCCGCGCGAAAAAAAACGCGAAAATCGATCGGAAGATCGGGATTTTTGGAGCTTGGGCAAGCCACGGGAAACTGAGACGACGAAACCCTTGCCGTCGGGTTGTGTGAAATGGCTGTGGCTCAAAATTAAACAGGAGGGGCAAACCGCGGGATTTGGTCCATGTTTCCACTTACCAAGGTTCTATTTTGGCACTGGTTTTTTGAGCCGCAGCCAAATGACCATTTCTGTGATACAACAAAAAGCGCCTCCCAAAGACCAACCCCCAAAAAAGAGGCGGAGATTCCCAAGAGTATCACAGAAGTGGGGACAAACCCCGAGCGATCCCACAACCCTGCTCCTTGCCGTCGGGTTTTTTCTTGAGATTCTTGGGGTGAAGAAACTGATATCATCCCCCAGCCATTTATTTGTCACAATCGAAACCTGGGACTAAAATGGTCGTAATCCCAGAACCATGCAAAGACTTACGAAGGCGGCTGCACCCAATTCTGGTTGGGATTGTCCCTTACTGACCGCCAAGTACCCGGGTTTTGGTTGTGGCTCATTTGGGGTGAAGCCTCTCAGAAGCTCAAGCTAAACGAGGGCCAGCGCTGTTTGACATGCCCCTCTCTCGTCCATGTCCAGTTTTGAAGAGGCGACGTGTAAAAACTAAAGTCCGCCGGAAGAGATGGGTTTCAGGTCGGTTCCTTGTTCACCCCCGAGCCACTAAGTTCGACTAGGCATCAACGCGCGACTGCTCGCTCCGAGCTGTGTCTCTACAAATCCTGGGCTCCCCGCGCAGTTCCGGCCTTCGAGCCTGCGCCGGAGAAGCTGCTTCAGCCCGTTTTTGGTCATGGCAATCCCTGGGATTTCTGTGAGAAGTGCTTGGTTGCAAGTCCCGTGTGCCACCAGGAATTGAACTGTAAAATTTTAGTCCATGCGTCCCATGTGTCGAAACTAGACCACCAGGAGTGGAACGAGAAATTTTAATTATCACCATTTTCCGATCCAGCAACTCATGTTGGGGCTACCAACTACTTTTGATCCACACCCATGGAACCGCAGTTGCCCAAAGGACCTGGAACGAAAAGGTCGACCTTTGAGAACCTTGACTAAAACTTGACCACAACGGGAAAACCAAAAGCTTAATGGCCGTGGGTCAAAACCAATGGTACCATTTTGGGGTAGGTGAACCACCCATGTTGGTCTCTCTTCTTTTCCGGGGATTGGGATGTTCACTGGGGGTACGATTCGGATTTTGACCCACAACCACATTGGTTGATCAAAAGGTCCGGTAAACATAGGATGACCACTGGTTGGGAAGCCACTAAAAAGACTTGATATTTCAGCCAAAGAAAAGTTACCCATGGTCAAACCTGGGAACCCAGAAAACCAAAGGCGATTCAAAGGTGGATTCGCTTTGGGCACGTGAGCAACCCCAGTCAATGCCTTTAAGGCTTGTCTCCGTTCCAGAGCAGCAGCCACACCTCAGAAAGCTGGGAATGATTTCAGTCGCCTGTCCAGGGGTGCCAAGCTACGTAACCCTTTTACATACCTTGGACAAATGAACCCAAAGGCATGCTGGTGTTCATATCCCTCTCCCCTATACCCCTTATAAAGTGGGTTGGAAACCACGGAAACCAACAGGTCTGAACAAGGGGTATGTACTTCCACACTTAGACCCTGAAAAATCCCAACAATGCCTTTCCTATGCTAGGTCCTCCAGTAGAGAGGTTACAATAAGGGTACCAACTTTTTTCTGTAGTCTATTTTAGTAGGGGAACCCTCCCAACCCGAAAGGGGGTTAGACAGGGCACTACTGGGGGGCCCTAGCCTTTCCTACGGTTTCAACATGAGCAGAGTTCGGCCCAATCAAAGAATGCATACTTTAGTCTTTGCTTCACTTTGAGTGCCTCAAATCTTGATTTGTATCCCTAGTCTACCGTCAAAGTTGATGTTGCGACACGATTTTTCCGCCACCATCCGTACCGCACCCCACCGTACCGCACCATGACCGCCGCATCAACCACCGCCCCACCGCCCGTAGCGCGCGCCTCTCCACCGGCAGCGTGCGCTGGCCCGTGGTCTCTACGAAGCCGAGGCCCACCGAGCCGCGAACACCTCGGCACCGAGGCCGAGTGACGCTCTGAGCGAGGTCACGAGGTGGGACCGCGGCGAAACTTGGGTTTGGTTTTTATTTTTTTCTGGTTTCGGTTGCTTTGAGTCGTGCCCAAATGCGTTTTGTGTGTTGTTGTTGTTCTTGTTGGTACCCCCTTTTGGTGACATGCTTGCTTTCTGCTCCCCGGCTAAAAGTTTATAACTTTTTGCGGTGTAATGGAAAACCATTAGTTGGCGAAAAGCTAAAGTCCTAACATCCAAGCAAAATGCACAGTTTTCTGAGAGCACACCGTTCACCAAAATTAAAAAGGGACACCACATATTTTGCGAGTGTTTCATATCCCACAGATACCAGGTTCGTGGGAGGAAGGATACACGCATGTTGTTGTTTGATCATGATTTGTCGGCTTTGAAACATGTTTTAACTTACTGGGCGTTATGATGTACCCCACACCACATCAACTAGGCGCTTGTAATACCCAGGCCAGGCAAGCAACTCCTTGGAGCTTGTATTTGTAAACAAATCGACCAAGCCGCCGAAACCCAGATATGTGCCTAACTGGAATAGGTTGAACTCTTTATTGTAAAGAATAGCCTTCGTTTTTCGGGCTGTGGTGTCATGTCATCTTGTCTTTCCGTAGTCCTCCCGTGATCTTCCTATTCAGTCTTCCTGTAGCCTTCCCGCAGCCTTCCTGTAGTCTTGCCGCAGTCTTCCGCTTGCTTCTCATTCTTCACAAAGCCGCAGTTTCATGAACAAGGGCTTTGCCTAGTCTTCGTCTGGCCTTCTTTTCAAGACCTCCCGGCGCCCAAAGGCCGCCGAATGACTCGCCTTCGGTTTGGTTTCGTTGCTTGTCATTTGTACCCTGTTCCACTCTGTCCCTGATTCTAGGGGTAGCTCGAAATGCGTTTGCCAGCGCAAAAGAAAAGCCAATCGGGGGTCAACGATTCTTCCTGCGCTTTTGGCGGTAAGTGGATGTCCGACAAAGTGGTTGATCCTTTTCGCCTTGACCGTGTGTTGTAGTTTGTCTTGTTGCAGTGTATGATGGCCAGAACCGCCTGAAAGAAAAACTGACGCAAGCGAATGCCGCTGATTTGAGGATGACAAGCTACAGGAGACGTTGCAGTCTCCTTGCATTTCCTCACGAGACTAGCCCAAACGCGTCCATACTAGTCATAACTCATAACCTACGAAACGCTTCCAAACTAGTCTATGATAGTCTATGCTACTAACATAACCTACGTACCACCTACTATTATGTCCAGAAACTGAAGATATCTGAGTCTTGAGTGACTACTCTTTTCCTGTGGAAGCGCACATGCTTCCATTGCAAGGCGCCGGGCGAAACATGCCGGTTGACTCAACGTGTATGCCAGTGTCAAAAAATGGCTCCAGGCCTCTCCCAACAACAATGCCTTCAATGAGGCTCCTTTTGACAGTATCCATGCAAGGGTTCCTAGGTCCTCCAGTAGAAAGGTTAGAATAAGGGTAGCAACTTTTTTCTGTGGTCTATTTTAGTAGGGAAAGCCTCACCCAAAAAAGGGTAAAAGGGCACTACTGGGGGACCTAGGTTCTTTCAGCTGTCAAAGCTGCAAGCAAGCAAAGCAGGTGCGTCATACTGTGGACTGTGGCACATCATGCTGGACAGCCAATGGATGCCCTGACTGTGGACCAATCACAGCAAAATCAATCAGTACGTTTAGTAGGCTTCCCTTCTGGCAGCACCAAATACTGGATTTTCTGATCACTCCCTTTGGGACACAGCCCACAAACGGCAAGCCATTACGGTGTGGTGGCTGTGCTGAAGTCGACTTGCCCCATTCAAATTGCCGCGGCGACGAAACAAACCTGCAGCGCTATAGAACACATTCGAAGGATATGATCGGGAGAGCAGCCTTAATGATCTACTAGGTCCTTTAGTAGAAAGGTTAGAATAAGGGTACCCTTTTTTCTGTAGTCTATTTTAGTACGGGAACCCTCCCCAACAAAAGAGCAAAAGGGCACTACTGAGGGACCTAGTCTACAAGCAGAACATGGGAGGGTCTGATGGAGCAAGCGCAAGCCGTTGCTCGTTACCTTTGGTTTCCGTTTGAATCCTACAGCTTGGAACGCGCACACACCAAAGGCGGAAGAAGGATTCTCACGACTGCCACGGATGAACACGCGACGGCCGGCGTCCACTACAGGTGCCCTTGAAAGCGTATGACTGAGTTACGTGTGTGATGTACTTCTATTTGTTTCGTATACATCTGAAGGTTGTTCTCCCACTCCTGTATTTCCCGTGGTCATGCATGTTGCAGCAAAGCTGGGTCCCCAGCGCACAACGCAAGTGAAATGCAGCTCCAGATGTCTAGGAATACCGACCATAGCAAACAGCTTGCAATATTTTGAACATATTGAAACTTGCATTGTCCTCCCCAAGCCGAAGTGACAGTGAAAACTTGACAAGGGAAATGGCATCATCTCTTCAGAAAGAACTAATTGTCAAACTGAACATGAAGAACCTGCACCTTGCATATGGCTTTTGGTGGAAGGATGCATGCGGGGCGAGTGCAACTCCCAGACTCGTTGGGTTTGTTCACGTTTTGTGACTGCGAGCTCCACATGGGTCTGATTTGTTTTATTAGGGACCCTTTGATGGACATCAAACTTCGGTGGGGATCCATGTCCACCAACCACTTTCGAGAGGGTCCGCCTCCTAAAATTCATAGCCGCCCGAAACCACCATGTGTCACACAGCCGATAGTCTAAAACTCTAAAACCAACATGCGGTCTTCATGGCCAAAATGCATCCCTTGGGCAACCTTCTTCCTGATCCTTTTGTCTCCGTGGCACTGATGACACTCATTGGCCCTCTCCACCCAGCAGCCCTCCCCGCCCACCTCAGTGCCCCACCCAAGTCTGACTGGAGGGCGCGGAGACCCTGCACCTCGCGACATGCAAATGAGCGACTCTATAAACCTCCCATGAATCCCTATCTCGTATCAAGCTGCTTACGCGCAAGCTTGTGCTTTCCTTACGCGACCCATGTTTTAGCTTACGCGGCAGTCAGCGAGCATGTTAAGCTTACGCATGGCTTACGCGCGGGCGTTTTGAGCGTTTCCCCTCAAGAAGTGCTTGCGCGAGCTCCTTCTCTCGTGCAGCCGCCAGAATTGTTCAAGATGTGGATGACTCTGAGGAAGAAGATGACGAAGAACTACCCTCACGAGTTTCAGCGGCTTGGCATTGAATCAAGAAACGGGTTGTGCGAGAGCAGCATCCATCGCGAGGGCTAGCGGGCATCCCAGCTAGGCGAGCTTACGCGAACCTTACGCGCCTGCTTACGCGAGCTTACGCGCCCCAACCCCCTTTGGTTTTCCTAGATCAGCGGTTTCAGAAGCCTTTGTTTGCCCTAGTAAAGGTTGCAACAGCACCTAGCATGAGCCCCAAGAGCTCCCAATCAAGGTTCTGCCGTTTTTTGTTGTTTATTAGTGTGAACATGCGGTCTTAGACGTTTGCCTGCAGCCAAAGTCTCTGGGCAAGTTGCCAAGCTCGACTAGTTGGCAACAGCACAAGCCACCAATAAACACATAAGCACAGCCGTCACTTGCAAGACGGTTGGAAACGACAACTCTGGGCAACAACACCAATGCAAGAGTGCAACTCATACAGCATGATGACTTCAAAAACATCAGAGCTTTCTCTCATGATACTTAAATGCCATGAGCAAAACGATCCGATGGTTTCGTTGCCTCGGTGAACCTTCGGCCCCAAGCAGCTCGCAAAAACAATTTGTCTGGGTTCCCCGCTGCAGTCTTCCCACGCGCTATCATATGCTCATACTTCGGCCTGGCACGAGGAACCGAGGAACCGAGCCAAGTGCAGCCGCGCCTTTGTGAGAACTTTGTTCTTGCTTTGTGCCTAACAACTGTCATTTGCTTAATTCAGCCCCCTTGGAGAAAAAAAATAATAATAATAATAATTAAAAAAACACATATGTCCAGTAGTGATATCAAATCCAACTTTAAAACCAAGAGGGTAAAAAAAAAAAAAAAAACATTTCAGCAACAAATCCAGACTGCTTAAAGTGCACTTGAGATCACTTGGGGCCTTTGGGCCTATGGGAACCAAGTCTTGCTAAACGTCTTGACTAACTGGCTCTGGGGTCCACCATGGCGGTGGGTCAAAAAAAAAGGTACCCAACATGAAATCCTAAATGGAAACGTGGACAACCTGCGGTTTAAATTCTTGGTCTTTTTCTCTTTTTTTTCGACCCATACCCCATATCAGCTTCCCTTGATTTGGAGCCGAATCGGGTGGTGAAAAGGAGGGGTTTCCCAGTTACCCTCTACAAGAACCACAGGTTATCCCCAGTTCCCAATCCGAGCCACCCTTTTGGGATTACCTGACAGTAAGTCTCAGCCCCCTAGTTGACCATGGTCTTTCTTGAAGCAACGCAAAGTGGAAAACATGCGGAACAAGTAGCTGGCACGCAGGCAGCCTGGCTTTTGGTTTGATGCCCACATCTCTTTTGACTGAAGAGCAAAACCACGGACAGTCGGAGGAAAACAAAGATGTCAAACTACAACTGCATGTCTGACACAAACTGGTAGCATGGGGGCCTTTGCATTACACGGGCGCTCGACTAGGCAAGGTATTCCGATGGATGTGCGTCAGGTACTGCAGGTAGTTGGACCGAGAAGTGTTCTTCAGCGCATGCAACGTCAAAGCCAGCATGGCCGATGGCGGTGTGAATCGGGCTGAAAGAGATGACCATGCTGGACGTACCGAATCATTCTTCGTACTTGATGTGTTTAGGCCTAATTTCGGCACCCAAATCACAAAGTGGTAACAAAGCCATGATCCTCTGAGCTCTCTCCTTTGGATTGTCTTGAATCCGCCAGAAAACAAGCATAAATCGCACCTGATATGATCAAATCATCCACATGCTGATCAACATCGCATACGCCATATCCCGAGAAGGCAGCGGAAAACTCACCGTTTGCCCTTACATTCCAACCCCAACTCCACCCCAATTCCCCCAACTCCACTGAACCCCCCAACTCCACCCCCAACCCCACCTCATCTCCCCACACCTGCCTCAACTTCACCCCAACTCCACATCAACCCCAACTCATTGACTAAAGCCCACCCACACTCCCACTCCCACCTCCGTTCTCCAACCCAACCCCATGCCAGATTCACGCCATGTCACGCCGATGCGCTACCTGATCAGGCACGGGCAGAAACACGCATCAAGCTGACCTCATTGCGCCTTGTACCCAGCTGAGGTTCTCCCATCCATACGTCTGACTAAACAGAAACATGCTAGAAACTAAAACTAGGTTTATGTAGAGAGGTTAGAATAAGGGTACCAACTTTTTTCTGTAGTCTTTTTTAGTAGGGGAACCCTCCCCCAAAAAAAGGGTGAAAGGGAACAACTGGGGGACCCAGAACAGCAAGTTCCCGAACTTGTGTGGACGGTGCCGACCCCAAGCATTGCTCCGCCCAAAGAAACTAAGAAACAGCTGCAGAGTTTGTGCGATCCTCAAACTGTGTGCCAATGGCTGCCATAAAAAAAGCACACGACGAAAGGCTGCATGGAAAGGGGACGCTTTGACACAAGATGGGAAGGAGAACAAAGATGCAACATCCATCAGGGGTCACTGGAATTCCCCGAATCACATGAAGGCACAGAGGAGCGCAAGGCGCGAAAAAAAGGAACCATCTCTTTTGGGGGTTGATCATTTCCATCGCGTCCTTGCAGGACTGGTGGCTCCGAAAGGCTCCCTCTAAAGCAAAACTTGGATACCCCTAGCTCCTTGGCTCCAAGCACCTGCTAGATTTTTAGCGGGGGGACCGACAGACTAAGGGAACAAGCGTGCTACTGACAAGCCGGGCGCGAATTGAAAAGGCAAACCTCTTGCCTCACGAAACTTGCCCCACGAAACTTAAATCGACTCTGGAGGTCACGTTGCTTTGGAAGACCTGCCGCCAAGTTGCGCAAAGATCCGCTACATCGGCATTGTAGTTGAGCTGCCAGCCTTGGATGCCGGAATCCAATGCAAAACATCTCCGGGGAGTGAAACAAATGAGAAAAGCGCCTGAATATGTACAAACTGATTTGTTTGTTTAAAAACAAAAAAGACAATCACGGCTTAGTTGGTTTCATAGCAGCCTCATATTGGCCATTGACATTTCGATCCGCCCTGGCCTGTGAAAGCTGGAGGAAACGCAGATGTCAGATGTCGGCGCTGGCGGATTCCGTGTGGAAAAACTGGGGGGAAAACAGACAGAGATTCTTTGGGAAAACATGCAAGAACACATGCACAGAGACCTGGGAGATTCCGGGATTCCAGGATTTCTGGAAAATCAAAAGCAAACCTACCCTCCATCCAACCATGGAAGTCTGAAGTCCTAGAAAATCGGCTTACAAAAGCAAACCCTTCCGAGACAGGCTTCAAATAAACCTTGCACGTGTGACGACTTCTTACTCCTACTTAGCTCCGCTCTACCCTCCGTCCAATGATGGAAGTCTCGATCGTGTTGGAAGTATGTTTTCCTTTGGCATTTCGGGGAAGCCCCCTGCCCACTTCCAATATTCAGAGGGTACTTCGTGAACTCGTTGCCTGAAATGGCTGGCCATCTGTGCAAAGAAAGTGGTGAGGCACCTGTCTCGCAAAGTCTCTCAAAACACACAATTTTGGGACATGTCCCTTTGACAAAGCTCAAACAACAGGAAGCCAAGTATTATAGGACCTCCAAACCTTGGCACAGTCACACCTGAGTCACAATCAAATCCGATCGGTATTAAACTGCTCGTAATCCCAGAACCATGCTTCAAGAATTCAGAAGGCGGATATCCGCAGCTATTTATGGTTGGGATTGTCCCCTATCCTTCGTCAACCCGGGTCTTGATTGTGGCTCACCTGGTTTAACATGTGTTTTTTGTTTTTTCCTGCTGGAAACCGCACCTCTCTGTCTCAGCTACAAGCGCAAGGTCGATTCGCACGCGTGTGGATCCTCACAAGCGGCTTGATCATCAGATGGCAACACGGGTCTTGCTGTGCCTGCCCCGGCAAAAGGCACCGGGAAAGTCTAAGCACAGCTGCTTCTTGTCTGGGTCCTCCAGTAGAGAGGTTAGAATAAGGGTAACAACTTTTGTCTGTAGTCTATTTTAGTCGGGTTCGGAACCCTCCCAACCAAAAAAGCGGTGAGAGGTCGGGCACCAATCGCTGGGGGACCCAGTTGTCCTGTCGTGACTTAGTTCTAAGTAAAGCCTACAACTTGAAGCAACAGAGACGGGAAACCCACAGAAAGAAGCACACACTCCAAGAGCAAACATGGAAGCGGAAAGGGCCCGTGGAAGACCTGGACAGGTGGCTCTGTTGCATGTGTCTCTTGTACCTTTCCGCGAATCCCGCTGCATCATTTATCCAATCCGAGCGATTTCCGAACTCGACATTTTCCCTGGTCCGCGGCCAGTTTGCCGCAGCCATTTTGGGGGTCCTGCAAAAAAGTCCCGGAATAAAAATGCGCCGCACGCACCCGCAACACCTACTTATAAAACAGGTGGGAAACCACGAAACCATGAGCCCCGGAGCTGCAGGCACTCAAGATCTTACTGGCATGGAAGAGTTGCCATTTACAGCACGGAGTCGATTTCGCGATCCAGAAAGGTGTTCCGAACAGGTCACCTGCTGATGAAAAGGGCCTCCCCACATGACATCAAGAAAGGGACCTTGAACACAGGGTCCAAGCACTTTGCGGCCACAATGTCATGGACAAATTTCACTCAACCCATGTCATGTGTAAAGGCCTGCAAAGTGAACACAGATTGTAGAGCTGTCACATTCTCTGTGAGGGTTCATACTCGTCGGTGGCGTATTTTGTTTGAGGCAAAGAGCTCTGGTCAAAGAGAATGAGCTAGCTCTAGTTGGACCCTGGTTGGCAGCATGCCAGTCCCTCTGATTGTGCAAATAAGCTATAATTGCAGGAAAGCTGAGTATAATCCCTTGCAATCCGTGTTCAGCTCATGCAAGTTTGCCCTCATAGATAGGACGCTGGCCTCGAAACATGGAACATGTTGGAACATATTTCACCCCACTGGCAAGCACCATGAACAAAACTGACTGACGGATGGTAAAACACGACGATCAGCAATGTTTGACAAGCGGCAAAACGCTTCCTTTATGCTTCCTCCAGTAAAGTTTCGTGATGCCTCAACCTTCTTTCCAGCAACTAGTCTAAACCACGACCTCCAAAACCCCGACTCGTGAAGCACTACTTTTGCAGCTAGGCCTCCATTTTCTTAAGGCCCCTGGAGAATTCACACATATGTTCAGTACGTCGCACGACGTGACAGAGCCAATTGAAAACCAACAGGGGACAGCAAAAAGTGTTAGTAACAAAATAAGTCCAGTAGGGATAGATTCGCTTTGAAACCAGCAGGGGACAACAAAAAGTGTTCTTAAGCAAAATAAGTCCAGTACTGATAGATTCGCTTTGAAACCAGCAGGAGACAACAAAAAGTGTTCTCAAGGCAACTGGAAGCGGACCGCGTGACCCGCTCTACCGTCAGTTTCCAAGCCGCCACGCTGAGGTGTCATGGTACCTGACCGCAGTCCGCTCGCCGGAGCGCGGCTCAGAACTCGTGGGATGGACGAAATCCTGCACCACCTAAAAATACCAAAAATGATATGATGCCTCCTGTAAATTCCAACTAAATGGCTTCCTATCTGGCTTCTTGGGTGGTGCGAAATGGATTTCGTCCACAGCACGGATCTCAGCACAAGGGCACGTCGTCTTTTGGTGGTACCCCTGCTTGGGTTTCATAAAGGGCAACCAAGGGCAAAATAACTCCTGTTTGTTGCCGGGGGTGTGTTGGGTGGGCCGGGGGGTTCCGGCTAACAAGAGACCCACAGGATGCTTTTCAACCAGACCTGGACGCCACAGAACTCATGCACTCGCCAATTTTTCGGGCATCTGGCATTGACAGCCACATGTGGACCTTTTCCGCAGCCCAGAAGCAACGCCCTGAAGGATAGTCAACTGAACCTTTTCGGAGCTTGCTTTGCTCAAGCCACAAATGAGTCATAATCAAAACCTGGTACAAAAGTGGTGAACCCAAAAGCATGTGAAGAGTCGGCCGGCCGCACCTATTTATGGTTGGGAGTGTCCCTTACAAGCCTTCACTTTCCCGGGTTCTGATTGTGGCTCAAATGCAGTAGGTGTCAGGGATTGCACCAAACTCGGTTCCCGCGCTCTATCGCAGCTGGCGTTGGATCCGGTCTTGACCTCGACTACAAATCAGGTCAGTCGCTTTGAGCAAAACGCACTAGCTTGTCATGGGAGGTCGAGGTCCATTCAAGCAAGTCGCGATGACTGACTCTTGCAGTGTGATGCTAACTGTGTATGGTCATTACTATTTTCATTATTGCTCTTGCTAGTATTTCTCTAGTACTCCTATTATTGTTATAATTGTTTTTTTTCTCTATCATTTCGTATTTAAATGGAATCATTGACGATGTATGACGATTTTGTTTTGCCAACATGGGATGAATCTTGGTGACAGCACCCTATCAACGACTCACTGATTATGACCACCCGGGGCGGGTGTGTAATCATCAAAGGGAAATGACTTGACTCCATCTCATCCTTCAATATCGAAGCCACCCAAAGATCCAAGCAACAAATGATCCTCCAGTCTTGCAAGGGTCTGATGCCAAGTGCTTCTGTCTCTCCAATCCGGAAAAAAATCAGGTCAACGTCCTGGGCTTCAGAAAATCGGTCTGCAAGTGCAAAGAGAGCTCGTGGCCTATCCCTCGCGTGGCGAGTTGAGCAAGGTCCCCAAGTTTCCCGTCATTTGCCGGGATCCGGAGCCCCTTCACCTTGCTGGACCAAGCCAGGATTGCCGACTCTCGAGAGGTCAAAGGGTCAAGGCAATTGGCTAGCTATATTGTGATTCGGGCACGAGCCTGTGCCCAGGCAATGGGTTAGTTGGGGTAAACAAGCCACCAAAGAA